GTTAAGGCCTTGGTTTTAGACTTTAACTTCTGGCTTGGCTTAGCAGAAGCCTGTCTTGAGCTGCTGCTTAAGGATGCTTTCAAAGAAGCTATTTGGGCCTGTAGCTTTGCAAGTTGCTTTTCCAGCTTAGGTGCATTGATGGGGGATGTCCTATCTGCAGCGGTTTCTGTGTCTATGTCATCAGTGACATGGTCTCCTACCGAAAGGGAATTTGACTGAACTTTGGATTTAGGAACCCCCAAGTGCTGTCTCATGCGGCTGGACTTAGCAGCTTGCCGGTCCTGCTCAGTACGTAGCAAAAGAAGTAACTCAGAAAACGGGGGCGGGTTGTTTTTCTTCTGCTCAAGCTGGAGACTTGTGATTAGGCTGTTATTCCAGCAACCTCTACAGAATTGCTTGAGCAGTTGACGCTCTGACCCACTGGCCGCAATGCCACCTCTTTTGACTACTTGACTCAGGGCTGTCTGCAGACGTTGGAGATACCCAGAAGGCTTTTCACTCGAGTTCTGATTGGTGTTCAGGAATTTGGCAAAGAGTTCATCCCCGTCGTCGACAGTGCCATAGGCGGAGTCGAGAAGGCAAAGGTAGTCATGGGGAGTAGAGTTAGGCCCAAGGTGCTTAACCACATTAGCAGCGGGCGGAAGAAGGCTCTCCACTATCTTCCTGACAGTATGTTTGTCAGACACGGTGGCATCTGTGAGGTGGAACTCAACATTGTTGCGCCATGTGTCATAGTCAGACTCTAGAAAGGGACAAGGGAGCCTTCCTGAGAACGGTCTGAGTTTGGTATGGCCATGATACTGAGAAGATATGTCACTATTCTTAATGACATGTTCAACCACTACCTTCTGCACTTCTGGAGTGATGAGCTGCTCTGAAGGTAAGTAGAGGGTTTGTTTCCTATGTGAGGGTGATGCCCCTGCACCTGCAGCAAATGGAAATGAGTCACATGCTTGGGGGTGGATCAGATCACTATCTATTTTTATAAGAGGTTGGTTAACATTTGCAGGGGGTTCAGTTTGGTCTGGGCTGCTAGCAGGCTGGGGTTCCTGGCTAACATTTGGCACATTTGATTCAGTTGTGTCATGGCTCTTGGTAGACTCCTGAATTCTAACCAGCTCATCTATCAAAACCTTCTCAAAGTCTGCTCCACTTAGCTTAGCAATATGCCTCAGCTCAGTTAAGTAAGACTGGGTTAAGCTTGAACTTTTGTAAGCAGCATACAGCTCAGAGAGAAGTGCTACACAAAACTAGAATAGGGCAACTAACATCTACCTAGGTCCGGGGTGTGGTCTGCCTTGAGTGACTCACAAAAGAGTTAGTATTGAGTTGAACAGTTGACCATTTTATTGCCTCAGGAAACACAACAATGCACACAGTGCTGTAATGTACCAAGAATGAAAATAAAATAAAACAAAAATAGAGCTCTTTCAATAATTAAAAGAAAAGAAAATGTCCGTGTGAGCTGACACTTCAGCTCAATGCTCCTTTAAGTTGAGGAGTATGAAATTGAGTTCAGAGTTCAGTCCCTGGTCCTTTTGTGTGTGTGCACAAAGTCCACTACTACTACTCAGGTAGAGTTAATAGCGTAAGTGTACTCTTATCTGTATCCTGTCTGAACGAAGCTAGTCCGACGTCCTCGGTAGCTGGTCCCACGGTTGGCCACACCGTTCTCACGACCATCCACCGTCACTCTGGGCTGGGCTCGCTATCTTTGATTCGTCTATTTCTCTTGTAGTAGTCAAACAAACAAAAAAAACCAACCGGAGTTTCAAACAGCAACAACCCGACTGAGGCTGCTCCTCACGTGCTCACAGTTGATGCTCTACAGCGATTGTTCACAGCTTACACACGGTTTCAGGACGTTTCAGGAAGAGATCTAAAAGACGCGAGAACTGCACGTCGCACTTTTTACCAATCCTGATACAGTCTGTTTATAACGCTCTAATGTATTGCGCTCTCTAGTGGGACAACATGGAACTAGACCTCTAAACAACATATATGCTTTTAGTAGCCCTGTGTTTCATAAGGGTTACACAATTATATATCAAGACTATCTTTCATTCCCATAATAAGAAAGCAATTAAAACTATTTCTGTTTGTGAATCCTTTGATATTTTTATATAATATCTAGCCCCCCCCTCCCCTCCCCTCCCCCCCCCCCCCCCCCCCCCCCCCCTCTGTTTTTGTTTTTGTTTTTCCAAAAAGAAAAGAAAGAAAAAAAGTCTGTAGTTTGGGGAGCTGACAGATGAAAAATGCAATAACAAACATATTTGTACTATTTGTCAAAAAAATAAATAAAATAGCACCTAGAGGATTTTTTAAAACTCTGTTATTGATAATATTAGCTGGAATTGTTTATATAGGCCTACATAAACAAATATGCTTAAATTAATCCCCAATGTTTAAGGTATTTGTGGTGTAATTTGATTGTTTTATGTCTTCTCTGAAAAACAAAACAAATTGACATGTTTAAAATATTATGATATGATTGTTGGATGGATCCCATGTTACCAATTAATGTCACATCTTGTATTGCATTTTAGCCTATATGCTATGTTTGCTAGGCCTACTACTTGTTCAGTTATTCAATAAAAATTTTTTAAAAAGAGTGTGGGAAAAGTGTGGTCCTTGCCTCAAAAGCATCTTCTTACCAATAAAAAAATAACATTTAAATTAAAGTCGGATGTTAAAATAAATTGCTCTTTTTTGTCCCTCTTCTGTGGAAGACAGAGACATTTTGGTCAGATATATCTTAATGTTTAAATTACACAACTAATTTATGTTTCCTGTAACTAAATTACACAAAAAATCCTCTCTTTACTGTATTCAAAGTGTATATGGAAACAATCTAAAGCTCTGCACAGCAGTGAAAACTATTCACTTTTGTGTCCTCTTACAGTAATATGCAGTATTTGTGTGCATGTCTCTGCACACAGCTGTATTGTTTTGTATTTCTATGCCCATAGCTAAACGGTCTTAATGTTCTGTATTTGCACCTAAAAGTACAATGTAAACATCCCTGCTGTTTAGTCCATAACTTTTCCTGCATATGCCAAGTCAAGTCACCTTTCTTTGTATAGCGCTTTATACAGATTGTTTCAAAGCAGCTTCAAAGTAATAAACAAGAAAATAATGTTGCAAAGTTCTTCAATTATGAAAAAAAAAAATTCAATTTCAGCCATAAAGAAGCTCTAAAATGACAATAGTGTCCTCACTCAATTCAGTGAATGTTTTGATCTCATCCAATAGATTCAGTGAAGTCAAACTGATAATACCACTAAATATTAAGTGTCTTTTAAACCACATGCCAGTCACTTTTCTACCTGCATTTGAATTTGAATATAATTTGAAAAACAACAGCAGAAGTGTAGATAGATAGATAGATAGATAGATAGATAGATAGATAGATAGATAGATAGATAGATAGATAGATAGATAGATAGATAGATAGATAGATAGATAGATTGATAAATGATAGATAGTCCAAACATATTTTGCGCCACCAGAGGTCTCTGTCAACCCTGTGACCTGGACTCATGCAGGACGTAACAATTGACATTTTGAAGTCATATCACAATTGACAATCCTTAAATTTTTTATGGAATATTGCTAGCCTGGGAAAACCCAGACAACTTCCGGCAAATTTAGATTTGCTCTGAAAGTTAGTCTGGCAAAGAGCTCATTCAAGCCCATTTCCAATCCGTCGAAATCGAGGCACCAATCAGAAACGTTGGGGCGGGATTTACACGATGACGACAGCGCTGGGATTTTGAAGCAGATTTTGTAGCCTACATTACAAAGATGGATGCCGCTAGTCGACTTCTCTTCTCTGATGACGTCTTTACTTGCGCGAGGGCGGGGCAACCTGTCACTCACGTGATATCCACCAATAGCAAACTAAAACCATCCAATCAATTCCGCATGGGCAAAATAAAGCCCCGGCCTACATTTGTTCTTGTTCAAGAAGCCGTTTAACTCGTTTTTGGAATAAAATCGCTGACTCGTTGCTAAGGTTTATTTCAAAGCTAACAACAGTTTATGTATCCTAAATATACACAAATATTTGTGTAATTTGAAATAAAAATAAACAACTGATCGGCACTGGCGCAAAATAAAAATATTCTATCGTCATAGGCAATTCTCTATATATAGGCCTATATTTAAAAAAATTAACATAACAGCATTTGTAAAGTAGCTATCTGATACGAAGCTAACAGTTTATGGATCCTAAATTTACACAAGAATATTTGCATAATTAGATTTTTTTTTTAACTGATCTGCAATGGTGCAAAATAAAAATGTTCTATTGTTATACAAGCAATTCTATAAAGTTATATATTTTTTAAAAAGTAAAAATAAAAGCATTTGTTAAGTATCTAATATGAATGATAAAAAAAGCAATAATAACTAATCTTTTTAAAAACCCCGTCGCGCATCAAGCCAGATCGGCCTGACGCAAATGCCGGGGATTCCCGCAGCTCAAGCCGCGTCACTGAGCGACGATCACCGCCCACAGACCCGGTGATCTCCGGCACTCCTCCACACAGCTGACTGACTGACTGCAGTCATGTGTGCTCATGTATTAAATCAGCTACTTATTATAATATGATTGGTCTCTGTGATGCTGTTTAGGTTCCTATCGTTAACCATTTTATACAGGCATGAGCTTAAACAGTGATACGCATACAGATTCCCAGTCCCTCCACACGCCCTGCTGCGAGAGCTGGAGAGGAAGGCGCTCCCCCCCGAGCTCAGACCGGAGAGGAAGGCTCTTATTCGGTCAGATGGCGTGCCGCAGTCCGCCCACGCGTTTCTCGCGCCCACACGGCAGCGAAAGAGCGTCATTAACTCACCGCTCCTGCCAGCACAGCAGAGAGAGCCCAGACAACATAAGAGTTTCAAGAGTATTTCAGCACAATCTCACATCTGTGGAATAAGGTCTAACAAGCACTGCAAACAAATATAAATTTCCTGGTTGAGGCGTAAAGATACAGCTCAAAAGTTTGAACTGAGTTAAAGCAGTGCAAATCTCTAGATTCCGTCGCTTCGGTTACGAAGCTCAAGTTTCTTCTGGATCCTGTCTTGAAGTCTCTCGAGGTGAGTAGTACACAACTAGCCTACTGATGTAACCTACATTCAGCTTTACACTCTTAAAAAAACAAAGGTTTCTTATTGGCATTTGATTCAGTTAATAACTTTTAACATTCATGGAAGCTTTACACTGCACAAAGGTAGCTACTTTATAGTGGAAAGGGGTTCTTTAGATTTTTTAAATGTTCTTCATACTAAGAAAAACCTTTATTTTTAGAACGGTTTATTGAAAGGATCTTTGGGGAACTAAAAATGGTTCTTTATGACATCACTGAAACCCCCCTTTTGGAACCTTTATTTTGAAGTGTGTATTATCTTTATTATAATTGACCACAGGAAAACTACTGTAGGCTGTATTTAACAAAACTCAGCAACACCATTGCTGGATATGAATGCCTTACTCGTGCTCATTATTTGTGAATTTTAACTGTGTAAGCTAACTAAAAAAAGAGATGTAGTCTGTATGTCTTACTATAACTGTAATTACTGACTGTGTTGCAATGTTTTTGTCTGGAAAAAAACATGCAACTAAAAGGGATTTCTGTCATTAATTACTCACCCTCATGTCGTTCCAAACCGAATTTTCCCACTGTATTATTGTAAATAAACACTTGTTGTTTGCCTTTAGCGCTTTGGTTTCATTTGCTTGCGCTGACATCGTTCCGAAGTCAGTAATGTTATTTCCCATAGGCCTTAATAACGCCAGTGGACGTGACAAAGACCTTCGTTCATCTTCGGAACGCTGTACAACGCTGTTTACATTGTCAGAATGCTGGCTCATTATTGGCCGATGCTGGTCACGTGTGTGATGCTGACGCAGGAACTGGCCAATAATGAGCAGATGTAGATTCGGATGTAGAACCCGGAAGCGCTGCAATGAATTTACAACTTAAACAGTGTAGGAGACTGACGCAGTCAAGAAGAAATTGTTAAATAAAGTCGTTATTTTTTTTATTTTTTTTTGCGCACAAAAAATATTCTCGTCGCTTCATAACATTAAGGTTGAACCACTGTAGTCACATGGACTATTTCAATGATGTCTTTACTACCTTTCTGGACCTTGAAAGTTGCAATGATGTTGCTGCCTATGGCTGGTTCAGAATCCTCTCAGATTTCATCAAAAATATCTTAATTCGTGTTCCGAAGATGAACGAAGGCCTTATGGGTAGTGGTATAGTCGTAGTAGTCAAAGCTTTGTCTCCGCTAGCCTGCTAACTAGCATTACAGTGATGATGTAGACAGTGTTGACAAAATGGGAACGGCTACGTCTTCAGGAGGTTTTGTGCGTATAGTCTGCATTGTACTCTGTCTGTCTGCCGTTCTTCGTAAAATGCGCAGCGCACAGACAAACCTTGAGGTTATTAGTTTCAGGAACAGTGTTAAAAATACATTTTAACCTCTCTAAGTTCGTCAGCCTTGTTAAGACAAACTTTTTCCGGGGTGTAAAAAAACAGCGACAACAACTCTTCCTCTTTTCTAAAGCAGCCCAACATGGCCTCACCCTCTTTGTTGCGTGTTCCCATAGACAGTATAAGAAGTGGACAGAGCCATCTCATTGGAACTCAGTTGAGACAGTTGAAGCCCATTTTTAGCGATTTTTGAGCACTTCCGTTCCTGACGCGCAGACTCAAAATGACTCAAACTAAGCTTGATGACGTGAGCAACCTGTCTGACAGACGTAAATCTTCTAGTAGCTGTGCGTGAAAATTGCCAACGTTAATCTTGCAGAGACGGGGAACTTGAGCAAAGAGTTCTTTGGCGTGAGTGAGCAGGAGTAAGTATTCCGTTGCTTTTATGGACTCATTGGCCCTCATTTAACATTCTTGCGTAGAAACGGGCGTATATGTTGGCGTTAGATTATGCTTACACTCCTCTCACCGCCTGATTTATGAAGCTGTGCGTACCTTTGAAATCCAGGTGTACGCAATACCTGCCCTTGATAAATCCCGCGGCTGAAAACTATCGTCATTAGAATAGCACGCCCCTATATATCCAACCCTGCGTCCCAATTCGCCTACTTATACTACGCCCTAAAAGTATGTACTCTTTTTGTGAAGAAAAAGTACATACTTTTGAGTGTGTAGCAAAAGAGTAGGCAAGCTTTGGGACATACTACTTCCTCATCTTCAACGTACAGATCTGTCGCGTGCATCCTATCACCGTAAACTGCCCTGTCAATCATCTTGTCACAGTTAAAATCCTCCATTCAATCTAATATAACTTCTTACCATTTCGGAGAGAATTGTTGTCGCACGTTCATCTGCCAGTCATGGGCCTTTCATGCGGAGACTCTCCTCATGTGTTTGGAATTTGAATATAATAATGCATTTAAAAGTGAATGGCTAAACGTATCTTTGCAGAAGTTCACAATGCTGCTGCAGATGCAATATAATGTGGACAACATTGAATAAATACATTTTCGTCAGGTTAGATACTGACAATTAATCACTCAAACCCCTTTGTCTAAACCTCTTTACATAACCGTCGGACTCGCGCGTCCTCCATGTCTGTAGTTTTTGAACACTTTTCATTCGTGTTTGTAGTTCTAACCGAATCCTCGTCCAACGCGCGATGGGTTGTGGGCAATATCAGCCGTTAGAGTGCGCATCGATCTGCACTTCGGATTCTGACCGGATATAGTAGACCATCCGGGTCTCTTTGGGACACTCATTTCAACATACTACGATTTGGGACGTACTAATTCTATTTTCGAATACTGTTTAGGACGGATAGTATGCGAATTGGGACGCAGCACAAGTCTCCGCTTCCCCCACGCCCTCATTTTACGCCATGTACACACGGAAGACGGCATAGAAGAGAAACTTCTCTGACGTGGAGCCGAAATGTCCTATCACAATGCAATATTTTACGGCACGTCTTTTGAAACAATTAGCATTCAATTTCGAATCGCGTCACATGTATTGGGGTGTACAATAGTGACGATGATGATGTGATGTGGAGTACCATTCATTCACATTAATAATTGCATGACAATTTGTAATATTCTTCTTATTATTATGATTTTTATTATTAATGACGCTTGTTGTTATTTAGAAGAAGAACGTCGTTATTATTATTTATTTGTATTATTATTATTATTATTATTATTTAAAAGAAGAAGAATGTATTTTTTATTATTTTGTCAGTCTGAATTATTTTTTGGTCATTGAAAGCCTTTCATTACCGAACCCAGTCCGTGCGCACCTGCCGGGCCTAACCATGAAACGTCAGGGTAAAGCGCACAGGCTCGCAACTGAAGGAATACATATGGCTTCAAATCAAATGCTTTGGTAAAGTCACACAAATTAAACATTGAAGTCCATGTTGCACAAAAATAAACACTGAAGTTTATAATTACTATGTTGTTGTTGTTGGTCATAATATATCATATCTTTTAGTTTGTCAGTGCGTTTTGTGGTGTTAGGAATTGTTTTTCTGCGCATTTCTGCACTAACACAAAACGTGCGTACACCACCTCCTGAGCTGGCGTAGGATTTGAGCGTTCCGTACACCAACGTCCATATTGATAAATCTCAAAGTCACCGTGGGTTTGGGTGTACGCCAGGTGTACGCTGGAAATTTGGTGTACGCACTTTTGATAAATGAGGGCCACTATCTATGGGCTTCTCCCTTGACGGGACGTCCCCCCGATTGCCTGCGAGCTTCTCCTCCTGTCTGTACGGTCATTTCTGTACTGCGCGACATAGAGTCGAGTGGTTATGACGCAATCGTTAGCCTATTTTTACAAAATCTGTTTCTACGGGGCCATAATGTAACATAGAAGGTAATGGAGCCCTTTATACATTGTCGTGTTTCTTTAGAAATAAATAATGGACAAATGGAGTCTTTAAACGCCTCAGATGTAAAGTTATTCGCTGTCAAAGTGACGCCAAAATGAATGGGAGTCAATGGAAATGCTAACGCAAGTGAAGTTCTGCTACAACATGGCGGCACCCGGCCGGCTTCAACTTCCGATCGATGGATTACCCCCTTGCGTGTTCCCGGGGTTTATGTAAATTTGAGGGTTTGTGATGTCATCAACCCTGGAAGAAGCTCGTTGTAGTCCCTTCCAGCCGTTTGTTGTAGTCCTAAAAAAGCCATTTCTTTAAAAGAAAAGATCTCCCTTTGCATTGAACTTTGAGCGTCGTAACTTTGCAGATTTTGTTTATGCTCAAACAACAGTATACACTAACTAAAGTTAAAAAGTGAAATATTCAATAACCCCTTAAATTTGAGATATTATGAAGTCTGCATGTTCTGCGCGAATGTCTGCATGTCTCTGTGTGAATGAGATTAAAAAAAAAACTGAAAACAGGTCAAATTTTATCGCATTAATCGGCTGTCGGTGAACATGTCAAACTAACGATACAAGACTTCAGATATTAGCCTATAGGATCAGAGGAATCTTTTAGGATTTAAAAAAATTGTCTCAGACGGCCCAATCGTACAGCGTGAACCCGGCTTAAGTGTGAAGATCGTTTTTAATAATCTAAAGAACCTTTTCCACTATGAAGAACCTGTTGTGGAATGGAAAGTTTCAGTGGTTCTTCATGGAACCAGATGCCTAGAAATGAACCTTTATTTATAAGAGTCTCCATATTGTACTGTGGGAGGAGTAGAAGGACATTTGACTGCACTGAAATTGGACTGAAAAACACTTGAAAATAAAAATAGTTCCCGAAGCTCTAGTTTGGATCCAGCTTCTTATGAAGACATCCTGCCAAGACTTCAGATGATGTAAAATCTGAATCAACACACACCAATGCTACATTTTCTATATATTTGATTCATTTTTTTTCTCAACTTAAATAATTACTTCAATGAGCTCATTGTTTGTGAGATCATGAGCTCAATGATCTTATTTATTACGGATAAATACATACTCTTTATTACGAAACAACACCTACAGCATTTTACATCAGCTCCACTGATAAACTTAACAGATATTTTATACAATCAAGGGAGCAGGAATGTGAAGTCTGTTCAGAAACGACAAGATCCACATTCATTATTCAAACAAACACTTTCTACTGCTGTTGATCAGTGAGGTGACCGGAACAATTATCTATAAAACTGTATTCATAAAACTGTATTATTTAGCTAAAATTGCATGAAAAGTGTCAGCTGTTTGATATTTTTATTCCGTATGTTTTTATCACAGGATGTCATCTGTGCACACAACAGTTATACCATGTTCACTCCCAGGATTACATTTATCACAATTTTCAACTTGTTCCAGTAGCACCTCATTGCAGTACACGAGATCCAGGGGGTGGACTTGGATCCAGATATAAGGGGTGGAGATGGGTAGGATTAGGGGTGGGGTTAGGGATCAGGGGGTGGAGATGGGTAGGTTTAGGTATGTAAGGTGGGAGGAGTTGGATCTGAATCCAACTCCTCCCCCTGGATTTCATGGTCTGCAGTGAGGACCATCTCACTTGTTTAGAAACTTCCAGTAGTCTGGAGCCCCGTCTATATTTTACTGTAAGCTTGTGCACAGCCAAAAACAGTCTGTTAAGCTGATTTGTTTTGCAATCATTTTATTGGTGTATGAGTGAGTGAGTGAATGGGGTGAATGTGAGGCAAATTGTAAAGCGCTTTGGTGGCCATTGGGTCTGTGAAAGCGCTATATAAACGCAGTCCATTTACCATTTACCATATTGTTATCGTAGAAATTTAAATTCATAATTGTAATTATAATAACACTGATTGCAAATAGTTTTACCGTTTACTGCAATTTGCACAAAAAACTGTACATTTTCAAAAATGATTGGAGTATGTTTTACAAGAAAGTACTATTATAGTCTTTCTACATCAAAATGTAATGTGTAAATCAATGTGTTACTTGCCATTTCTCTCTAATTATTTGTGAAATTTACTAGCATCTTACTGTAATTCTACACCTTTTTGTTTATACGGTGAAACTCGAAAAATTAGAATATCGTGCAAAAGTTCATTAATTTCAGTAATTCAACTTAAAAGGTGAAACTAATATATTATATAGACTCATTACATGCAAAGTGAGATATTTCAAGCCTTTATTTGTTATAATTTTGATGATTATGGCTTACAGCTTATGAAAACCTTTTCACAATATTCTAATTTAGAGTTTGGGGTTTTTCATAAGCTGTGAATCATAATCATCAAAATTATAACAAATAGAGGCTTGAAATATCTCACTTTGCATGTAATAAGTCTATATAATATCTTAGTTTCACGTTTTAAGTTGAATTACTGAAATAAATGAACTTTTGCACGATATTCTAATTTTTCGAGTTTCACCTGTATAAATATGGTAACACTACAATAAAGTTCATTAGTTAACATTAGTTATTTACTAACATGAATTAACATTGAGTAATACATTTGTTACAGTATTTATTAATCTTTGTAAATGTTAGTTTATAAAAATACAGCTGTTCATTGATCGTTGATGTTAGTTCACACAGTGCATTAACTAATGTTAACAAATACAACCTTTGATTTTAATAACGTATGAATAAATGTTCAAATTAGTATTAACAAAGGTTAATAAATGCTGAAGAAGTATTGCTCATTTTTAGGTTATGTTAACTAAGGTAGTTAACTACTGTAAAGTGTTACCATATAGTATATGGTACTAATGACATGCTTTGTGGGAATCCTGTTGCAGTCATGTCACTTCCCCGGACGCTGGGCGAGTTGCAGCTCTACCGTGTTTTACAGAGAGCAAACCTGCTGATGTACTACGAGACCTTCATCCAGCAGGGAGGCGATGATGTCCAACAGCTGTGCGAGGCTGGCGAAGAGGAGTTTCTGGAGATCATGGCACTAGTTGGCATGGCCACAAAACCCCTTCACGTGCGACGCTTGCAGAAAGCCCTGCGCGACTGGGCATCGAACCCAACGCTGTTCAACCAACCACTGGCCACCAGCGTGGCCCCCAGTGGAGTCCCTCTCCTCAGGATCGACAGCACCAGTTCTGCTGGCTCGGTTATGGGTGCAAGAAAATCTTTAAGCAATGGTCAGCCAGGCTCTCCATGTGAAAGAGAAGAGGTGGGGTCTTGCCTTACGCCGCTCAGAGATAACAGTCCGAGGAGTCCCTGTTCACAGGCTTCTCCTGTTCCTCCAGACCTTCTGTACAGAGAAAAACTGTCCCCCATGGACCCTCACTGGCTCAGCCCTGAAATGTATGGAGCTGGTGAGTTAGATGAAGACCAGCCCGTTTGCCACTCGCGTCTTCTGGGTCCCCCAACGCCTAATTCTTCCTCCTCCTCTTCCTCTTCTGTGGTCTCTCCGTGGCCTGGAGGTCAGCTGGACACCGAGACCATTAAAGCCGTGGAGGACAGTGTCGATCGGCTTCTGAGAACCATGACTCAAGCCGATCAAACCGAGCTGAAGACGCTTTTGAGACTCAATAAGAAAATGGCCAAGACAGTGGGACACATTTTTAACCTGGAGCCTCATGACAAGAGCAAAGAGGAGGAGATCCGCAAATACAGCCTGATCTACGGGCGCTTTGACTCCAAGAGGAGGGAAGGGAAACAGCTCACCCATCATGAGGTTTGTGAAAGAGAACAGTTCGAAAAAGCCTAACAAGCTTGAAGTAGTTTTAAAAGCATGAAGGAGTTTTACATTTGAAGCAGGTTGAAGTAGTTTTAAGTTAGAATTTTAAGTTTGAAGGTTTTAAATTGAAAGGTTTTATGTTTGAAGCAGGTCTAAGTTTGACAGGTTTAAGTTTGAAGTGGTTTTTAAGTCCCCCTGTAGTCAATAATTTTAGGCATCGGCTATTTGCACTAAGTGATAATATCGATATGTTTACACTATATATAAAAGCAGAAGTTCTTTGCAATAAGTGCAAATAGTTGCTAGATCCCATGTATACTTCTAAATAGTGGCTGTGATGATGCGAGTGCCACTGCTCGCAAAAGCGGTAACTGGGGTCCGTGAGGATGGGAAAAAATGATGGCTTACTCGCAGAGCACTCTTGTGCAAGATGTAATTTATTTACATCGCCAATAAGAAAACAGTCCTCAGTGAAGTATATATACTGGTGAACACAAAAACATAAAAAGTATAAAAAATAAATAAATAAATAAATAAATAAAGACAAAAAAAAAAAACCTCCAACATGTATCCACCGTATACACAGGTTTGCTTTGCTTGAGGCACCACAGTTGCACTCTCGCTTCCGACTTGGTTAACAAGTCCTGACTTTAGGTTTGGCCTTGGCTTAAATAGGCCAAACCCCGCCCCTTTTTGGGCCACACCAATTCCCGGAACATATAACAGTTAATACATATACAAATACTTCATCTATTTGATTATCCATAATAATTAATCCCAATATATATATATATATATATATATATATATATATATATATATATATATATAATAATAAACACATAAACCATTCACACATAATCCACTTAACACATAATTTTTCCATTCAAATACCCACAGGAACACCTATTCACACTAGACAATGGTTTCGTCAGCTTCCGGTTTCGATTCGCCGGCGCGACCCGGCCATGACGTCATAAATGGCCGCCACTCGATCGTTCGGTTCGGCCGGCTAAACTTTCCCGCCGGAGGACTGACTACGCCCACACAGACAAACAACACAGAGGTGAAACAACAAGACAGTGCAGTGTAAGTGTATGAAATGACCGGGAATTAATATGGAAGGGAGAGTGGAGAAATGGAAGAATGTCCATGTGCTATCAGCATCGCGTGTGCACCCGCTCCGATGATAGCGGCAAAGGCAGGGAGCATCGACGTGAACGAGGTCAGTATGTATGTGCGTATATATGTGTGTATGTGTGTGTGCCAGTGCTGCTTCCCCAGCGGTGGCAGCTAATGTGACTTTATCACATCACCTTCCCCCTCTCCTAGCCGCGTACTGGCCGGAAACCTGGACAGGTAGTCGGCTACCACGTTGAGTCTGCCCGGTCTGTGCCGTATCTTGAAGCAGTACGGCTGCAGGGCGAGGTACCACCGTGTGACTCTAGCATTGTGGTCCTTCATGGACTGAATCCAGGTTAGGGCCCGGTGGTCGGTTTCTAGATCGAACTCTCGACCAAGGAGGTAGTAACGCAAGCTGTCCAGGGACCACTTGATGGCGAGACCTTCCTTCTCGACCGCCGAATATCTTGTTTCCCTGGGCAGTAGCTTACGGCTGAGGTAAACAACTGGTCTCTCTTCTCCAGCGCTTCCCTGGGCAAGGACCGCACCAATCCCCGTTGCGGATGCGTCTACTTGCACCAGGAACCTCTGAGAAAAGTCTGGACTCTGCAGGACTGGGCTGGAGCACATCTTGTCTTTCAATGTAGTGAAAGCAGTCTCGCAGTCATCGGTCCATGGAATGGGGTTCTTCACCGGTTTTGACAACAGGTTGGTCAGGGGGACCGCAATGGAGGCAAAGTTTGGTACAAATCTCCTGTACCAGCCCACCAGTCCTAGGAATGACCTCACTTCTTTCTTGGTCTTTGGTTGTGGGCTCCTTCGGATTGCCTCCACCTTGTCAATCTGTGGTCTCAGTTGTCCGTTGCCCATGTGATACCCCAGGTAGTTTGCCTCTTGTTTTGCCCACTCGCATTTTGAGACGTTTAATGTCAATCCTGCTTCCTCTATCCTTCTTAGGGTTTGTTGGAGGTGTTGAAGATGCTCTGCCCAAGAGTTGCTATGGATTACCACGTCATCCAGGTACGCCGCAGACCAGTCTTCACAGTCTTGGAGGACTCGGTCCATCAGCCTCTGGAATGTGGCTGGTGCCCCGTGCAGCCCAAAAGGAAGGACTGTGAATTGATATAGTCCTAGTGGTGTTCGGAATGCGGAGTATGGTCTGGACTGAGGGTTGAGGGGTACCTGCCAGTATCCCTTACACAGGTCTAACGTGGTGATGTACTGGGCTCTTCCAATTTTCTCCAGCAGGTCATCTATTCTTGGCATGGGGTATGCATCGAATTTAGATTGGGCGTTGAGCTTGCGGAAGTCGATGCAGACATGCATGGATCCGTCCTTCTTGGGTACGATCACCATCGGGCTGCTCCACTCGCTCGTTGAAGGTTCTATCACTCCTAGCTCCTTCATCATCTTGATTTCTTCCTTTAAGGGTTCCACCAGCCTCTCAGGCACCCGGTAAGGACGTTGGCGTGATGGTGTTGGATCGGAAAGGTGGATGCTATGTTGGGTTAGCTCAGTCCGTCCAGGCCTCTGACGGAACAAGGCTGGAAACTGGTTCAGGAGATGCTGCAGCTCTTTCCTCTTGGAGTCCTCTAGGTGCGTTAGGTTCACCACAGACGGCTGCCTCTTTGCATCCTCGGATTCCTCTTCCTCTTCCACCTCCACCTTCCTCACCAGAAGAGATGTTTCTGGTCCCTTACCGGGTGGCTCCTTCCACTCTTTCAGCAGGTTCACGTGGTAGGTCTGCCTGTTCTTGCCCTTGTCCGGATGATGAACTTCATATGTGACGGGCCCCATCTTGCGGACGACGCTGTATGGTCCTTGCCATTTAGCCAGTAGCTTGCTCGTCGAAGTTGGCAACAGGAGTAATACCTTCTGCCCCGGCTGGAATTGTCGTAGCCTGGCGTGTTGGTCATACCATTTTTTTGTGCTCGTTGTTTTTCCTGTAGGTTCTCTTTGGCTTGTTCTCTGTACTGTTCCAGGCGATCTCGCATCTCCAGAACATACTGTACGATGCCGCCTTTCTCCTCCATCTTGGATGCAGGTTCTTCCTCCCAGCCTTTCTTCAACAGGTCCAGGGGTCCTTGTACCTGCCATCCGTAGAGGAGCTCAAACGGTGAGAATCCCGTTGATGCTTGGGGTACCTCTCGGTAGGCAAAGAGAACAAACGGTAGCCACTTGTCCCAGTCTCGTCCTGTGTCTGCAACGAACTTCCGCAACATGTTCTTGAGGGTTTGGTTGAACCTCTCCACCAGACCGTCCGTCTGAGGGTGGTATGGAGTTGTTCGGATGGCTTTTATGCCCAACTGCTTGTTCAGCTGCCCCATCAGTCGTGATGTAAAGTTCGTACCCTGGTCTGTCAGGATCTCCTCAGGTATGCCGACTCTGGAGAAGAGTTGAACCAGGGCATGAATGATCTTTGTTGTGGTGATAGAACGGAGTGGGAAAGCCTCAGGATACCTTGTAGCGTAGTCATTGACTACCAGGATGTAGCGATGCCCAGCACTGCTCTTTTCCAATGGTCCCACAATGTCCATGGCGATCCGCCTAAAAGGTGCAGAAATGACAGGGAGGGGTTGCAGGGGTGCTCTGCCCCGCTGGGACACAGCACTCGTCTTTTGGCAGATAGCACATGTGTTGCAGTGAGTTTGTACATCAGTATATAGTGTGGGCCAGTAAAAGCGTGAGCTAATACGTGCATATGTTTTCTGTTGGCCCAGGTGGCCAGCCCATGGAACAGTGTGTGCAAGGTGCAGAACAAGATGACGACAACAAGATGGTACAATCAGACGAGTCACATCATTCGTTCGCACATACAACACACCATTCACCACCACATATTCTTCTTTGCACAAATTCAAATTCTTTCCACACTCAGCTTTGACAAATAAGGGTTTTAAAGTTTCATCTTCCCTTTGGAGTTGTACTATGTTCCCTGGGACCTTCCAGCCATTAACTTCAAGGCCCTCCACCGAGGCTTCAGAGGCTGGGGTACCCAGGTACTTTGCAAGCCGCTTTTGACGCCGTGACTTTTTAGGGCCTTTAGTCCCGCCCTGCAACAGACTACCATCCAAGTCTGGCAGTGGCTGCAGACCTGCCCTGGCCTGAGCTCTAGTAAGAGCAGGACATGACAAATTAACAGTGGCAGTGGCAGTGGCAAAAGAATGTTTAGAGTCCTTAATGGTGGGTTGCAAGAGTTCATATAACACTGGCAAGTCTCTTCCTAGAATCATATCCGCTGGTAAATTGTCCACTATGGCAACACTAAGCAAGTACATTTGTTCCTGTACCTCTACCATTATTTCAGCCCGGGGATACTGCTTTACATCCCCATGTACGCACTGAACAGAGGTAGTGTCCACATAATTGACCTTATTTACAAAGCATGATTTCAACATTGACAGAGAACTTCCAGTGTCCAAGAGTGCCTTTAGGGCATGTCCATTAGCAGTCACATCATATACATTCTGACCCTCCCCCACAGAGTCAAAATCACATTCCCCTTCTCTAGGCACATAACAAAAGCCTGTAAGCTTCGCTTTGCGAGCGGGACACACAGCTGCTTTGTGCCCCGGCTGCTGACAGTAAAAGCATACCAGCTCATTCCCCCCTTTTGACTTTTGTGCATTGTCTGACAGTTCAGCACGACCCCTCTCAGCCCCAAAGTGCGTCCGAACAGTACCTTTAGATGGTTGAGTGCGTAGACCTCCACGATGAGCGTCGCCAGTCCTGAAGTTGGCTCATGCTCCCTTACCCAGGTGCGAGCATCATAAGGAAGTACCCGGAGTAGTTGCTCAAGGATAATGGCCTCGCCTATCTCCTCCTTGGAATGCTCACTCGGTCGTACCCATCGCTGATACAGGTTCTTTAGGCGATGATAAGTCTCGGATGGCGACTCTCCAGCTGGAACAGTGGGTGTTCGGAACCTTTGCCGATAGGTTTCTGGTGAGATGTTGAATTTCTCCAGCAACGCCTCCTTCAGATCAGCGTACACCTCTGCCTGCTCCTCATCCATCGCCAGGTACGCCTCCAATGCTTGCCCGGTGAGTAATGGAACCAGATGATAGCTCCACTCCTCCTCAGGCCACCTCCAAGTCCTGGCCAGACGCTCGAACCGCCGAAGATAGTTCTCAATGTCTTCCCCCTGCTGGAAGATTGGCATCTTTAGTTCAGCTCGATGCATTGGCTCTCTCCGCACTGGAAAACTTGGGGAGTCTCTGTCGTGGGCTGTTCTGCTTTGTGTGGATACCCTCTGAGCAGATGGCGTTGGTAGCTCCATTCGCAAGCTCTCGCTGTCGGACAACGTCTCAGCAGGACGAGTCGACTGCCGGATAGACTCGTGAAGACCCCGGAGCTCCTGCATATATCTCTCTTCTCTCCGCTGCTGTGCATCAAGGAACTGACGCATTAGGGAAACCATTCCCTCACCAGTTGTAGCGACTGGAGCGATTGGCTCAGTCTGTGGTGACCTGGACTTTTTCGAGGTCTCAGGAAGCTCTGCCATCATTTCCTCTTCCTCTGTAGTCTCCGCCGAATTCCAAGCCTCATCCTCCATCGTCGCAAACTTCCTCTGTGACCGCAACCCAGCCCTGGGTTTTTTCCCTTTTGGCGCTGTCTTGCGAGTAGCCATCCCACTGCTGCCACCAAATGTGATGATGCGAGTGCCACTGCTCGCAAAAGCGGTAACTGGGGTCCGTGAGGATGGGAAAAAATGATGGCTTACTCGCAGAGCACTCTTGTGCAAGATGTAATTTATTTACATCGCCAATAAGAAAACAGTCCTCAGTGAAGTATATATACTGGTGAACACAAAAACATAAAAAGTATAAAAAATAAATAAATAAATAAAGACAAAAAAAAAAAACCTCCAACATGTATCCACCGTATACACAGGTTTGCTTTGCTTGAGGCACCACAGTTGCACTCTCGCTTCCGACTTGGTTAACAAGTCCTGACTTTAGGTTTGGCCTTGGCTTAAATAGGCCAAACCCCGCCCCTTTTTGGGCCACACCAATTCCCGGAACATATAACAGTTAATACATATACAAATACTTCATCTATTTGATTATCCATAATAATTAATCCCAATATATATATATATATATATATATATATATATATATATATATATATATATATAATAATAAACACATAAACCATTCACACATAATCCACTTAACACATAATTTTTCCATTCAAATACCCACAGGAACACCTATTCACACTAGACAATGGTTTCGTCAGCTTCCGGTTTCGATTCGCCGGCGCGACCCGGCCATGACGTCATAAATGGCCGCCACTCGATCGTTCGGTTCGGCCGGCTAAACTTTCCCGCCGGAGGACTGACTACGCCCACACAGACAAACAACACAGAGGTGAAACAACAAGACAGTGCAGTGTAAGTGTATGAAATGACCGGGAATTAATATGGAAGGGAGAGTGGAGAAATGGAAGAATGTCCATGTGCTATCAGCATCGCGTGTGCACCCGCTCCGATGATAGCGGCAAAGGCAGGGAGCATCGACGTGAACGAGGTCAGTATGTATGTGCGTATATATGTGTGTATGTGTGTGTGCCAGTGCTGCTTCCCCAGCGGTGGCAGCTAATGTGACTTTATCACAGTGGCAGATACAATTTTCACCCCAGTATTGTTGTACATAAACAGTATGCACTAATAACATAGAGGGCCCTATCTTGCACCCAGCGCAATTGACTTTGTACACTGACGCATGTATCATTCCTATTTTGCACCCGCGCGATTTTCCCTCTGCAGACACACGTCGCTAAACTAGGAAATGAACTTGCGCTCCCCGGGGCGGTTCAGCGCAAAAAAGGATGCGTGTTCCGGCGCAAACAATCCCTTTTGCTATTTTGCTGTTCCATAAAACAATTGCGCCACTGACCAGAAAAAAACTAGTCTAAAGTCAGTGGAGCGTTGCGCGTTGTTCATTATGCTATTTTAAGGGCGCATGCTTGGCCATAATGTAGCGTGAGCACAACGCGCAAACACTTTGATTCTCTCATCTAAGCAGCAGTGTTCATTTTTGCAAATCATACATTATTACGATAGATAGATAGATAGATAGATAGATAGATAGATAGATAGATAGATAGATAGATAGATAGATAGATAGATAGATAGATAATTTATTATAAAAGCATACATGTAGCTTACACATTTACCCAAGTTATCATACGCCTGTTAAACAGAAGTTAATTTGGGTGGGTTTCTCCATCCCCAATGTCACTTCTCTGTGTTTTACGGCCCTGACGAGAACGTTGCTCTCCTCGGCTGTGAACCGCTCCTGGCGCGCGCCTGGCCAATCCACCGTTATAATAGGAATCCGCTTTAGAACAAGCGCGCCTGCTCTTAAAGGGAATGTGAGATGACGCTCTGATTGGTTTATTTCACGTTACGCCCAAACCACACCTATGAATAATGAAGCTACTTCAGACCAACCCCTTTTAGATTTGCGTCGAGCGCAAGAGTCATTTATCCCGCCAGCAACAGCGCCCAAGACCCGTCCACAAAGTTACTTGCGCTTTGCGCTTGACACTTGCGTTTTAGATCGTTAAAATAGGGCCCAGTGTGTCAATTATTATATTTATTAAAATTATTAAATGGATTGCCATCTTATTGGGACAATATCCCCTCCCTACACCTACCCCTAACCTTACCCGATACATTCTTTATTATTAAACACTCGTTCACTTTATTTACACTTTTATCTTCATTATCGCATCTTATTTTTAATTGAAAATAAATGCCTTTCTGGTCTGATATGTGATGGGAAAAGGGAGAAGAGCGAGTTTGGCAAAAGGCGGACTTGAACTCGGGTCAATCATGTCAAAAGGCGTGCGTCTTTTTTAATCTCGTGTGGCCCAACCAGGCATTGGTGGGCGGAGTTAGTGTAAATTGCCTTTGCCAAGACAGGCTATTACACTTATAGTGTAAATAGACACTACAATAATTGTATCCCTTAAACTTTGATCACCAAAATTACATATTTAAACTTTTTTTTTCCCTGTGAAAAACATTTCTTCATGCCTGCTTAAAATAGCTTGAATGTAACACTACACCCTTGCTTCATTTAGTATACACAGATATATGCAAATTAGCCCCGCCTCCACTCACTCACACCAACTCAGAGATCCACTCATCGGTCAACTTTACTGTAGTAAACGCTGCACAATGGTATTGCTCTTTACAACTTCAGACACATAATGGTAATTAATATGATTAGTTTTTTTGCTTGACTACGTTATCAAACAGCTAATAATGTGTTGTTAATGATACACAAACCATGTTCCCGTTCGCCATCTCAGAGTCCGACAGCTGCCTTCTATCAGTATCCTTAGAAAGGCTTTGTACATCAGAACGTCAATGGAGAAAGGCATATATTTCATCATAACATGAGGACGTTGTCATGTCTGCAGAAATGGAGTAATCAGAGTCCCAATGTCTATAGTGAGCCAGCGTCCTTATCAGTGCCCAAATTCATGAACACGATATCCTGATTCACGCTCTAGGGAACCGATTGAGACGCAGCCTAGGTGTAAACAGGGCCTAAGAAAACCTTAGCATTGTCTCCATGACTTTAGCACGGCAAGCAAGATTTGATTCGACAATTTTTTGATTACAAGCCCATTTAAAAAAATTTTTTTTTTTTTAAACAACAATGATTTAGATGACTCAGTAATGCTACTATTTCATTTTCAAAGAATTAATATCACACGAGTCTTTGCATGTGTTTTTCCAACTTAAAGTAAATTTATGATCAATTTTAAAGATAACTGCAACTCCTAGATTCTTGTACAATTCGACCATTTTAAAATATGAGATGTTGTAAATCTTTAAAAAAAATAACAGCAGTTGTGTAATGCATTTTGTAGATGGTCGTTTTTGCATGATTTAAGCACTTTCATAGAGCTCAGATGATCCGCTAAAATAACATCAAAGTGTTGATTCTCATATCTCCACTTTCAGATGCTCATCAATGAGGCGGCGGCTCAATTCTGCATGCGGGACAACGCTCTGCTGTTGCGCAGAGTTGAACTCTTCTCATTAGCACGACAAGTGGCCAGAGAATGTGCCTACACCTCAACATTTAAACATCACAGGTCAGGAATGAATCTTACCGTGACTTTTAGTTTCTTCAAGATTTGTATTTTGCATTTTGATGAGGTGGTTGCATATATTGTTAAATATATTTGAATTTTATAGATACAGATACAGATGAACACATGCACACACATATACAGCTCTGACAACATGACCAGTTTCTCTGGATTTACACTTTTAGGTATGTGTTTGAGTAAAATTTACTTATTTGTTTTTTTTATGTAAACTACTGAAAACATTTCTCCCAAATTGCAAAAAAAGAAAGAAAAAAAAACTGGTTGTTGAAGTGTTTTCAGACCTCGAATAATGGAAAGGGAAGTATTCAGAATCATCTTGCATGCTCTACATCAGCCTTTCACTTTACTGTTGTGACTTTATGCCATTTCTGGAGCAAAAGTTTTGTTTGATGGCTTTGTTTGATGCTTGTGGCCATCCATCTTCCTCTTGATCATATTCCAGAGGTTTTCAGTGGGGTTCAGGTCTCGAGATTGGGCTGGTCTTGATCTGGTGGTCTTGCATCCACACCTGGAGTCACATTAAACATTCTCCTGGTGGAAAAAACATTCTCATTGGGTAACATTGTCAGAGCAGAAGGAACCAGGTGTTCTTCCAGGTTAACCTTGTACATTACTTCATTCATCTTTTCAGCCTGATGAGTCCAGTTTTCAGCTTTGCTTTGACAGAGACCTCGAGAGGCCTATAAGCCACGTGTCTTGCACCCAGTTTGAAATTTTGTGGAGGACCGGTGATGATCTGGTGGTGCTTAAAGGGATAGTTCACCCAAAAATGAAAATTCTGTCATTAATTAATTACTCACCCTCATGTTGTTCCAAACTCATAAGAACACAAACCCATAATGACCACAAACCCATAAGACCATAATCTTTTTGATGAAATATGATAGTTTTCATGGTCTTACGTGGTCATCCTCCATTGATAGCTACGCAACTACCACTTTGACACTACAAAAATTTCATAAAGAGATCATAAAACGAATCCATATGAATTAAGCGGTTTTTCTTTTGTGTTCTGAAGATGAACGAAAGTCTTTCGGGTTTGGAACGACATGTAGGTGAGTAATTAATGACAGAATTTTTATTTTTGAGTGAACTATCCCTTTAAACAAGGCTGAATCAGACAGATTGTGAAGACCCAGCCCAATCTCCAGCCCTAACCCCAATTGAAAATCTCTGGAATGTGATGTGAAGGATTGGTGGAGAGCATTCAAAGATGCATGGAAGCTGGGATTGGGTTATTCCACCAAATTTAGATTTCCAAACTCTTCCTAAATTAAAACGTTAGTATTGTGTTGCTTAAAAAAAACTATTTTTCTTTGCATTCTTTTATGGGTTTTTTTTTTGACAAGTTGTAATTTTCTGCAAATAAATTAATTAAATGACAGTATTTTTATTTGGAATTTAGGAGAAATGTTGTAAGTAGCTTATAGAATAAAAATAAATTTGTCCATTTTATTCAAACACATACCTATAAACAGTAAATCCAGAGAAACTGATCATTCTGTAATAGTCTCTTATTTCCCAGTGCTGAATATGGAGAGCTTTTCCAAAGTTATAAGCAAAATCTTTAGATTTCATGGCCAGTAGGTAGCGCTGTCTCCAAACTGCTCAGGTACCCTCAGGTCTTAGTTGTGATGAAGTTTTATTTCATTATCTCAGAGCGTTGTGAAGATACCCCCTCATGTAATTTTTAGTGTACTTTCTGTTGAATTATTTGATTCATTACATGATAGGGGTTTGATTATATCAGAAAGCTTTGAAGATGATACGAGCTGAATTTGGTGAAGATGATCTGATGAACGCTGTTTTTCAGAAAAGTTGGGCAGAAATTGAATCCTTGGTTTGTGTTTGACTTGGCACAAGCCCAGTAATCAGAAGAAAAAATAATTATGTTTCAGACCATACGGTGCAAAGACATAATCAAAAACATAAGTGCCAATTTTAACTGTTTGTGGTGCTACACGGTTTGAGATAAAGACTACAAATTTGAAGATTTAACTATTTACCTTACAGTTATTTGCTTTTACTGTGTTCAGTTGTTTAACAGATTCAGCAGAAATATGATGAAATTGGAATTTTAGTTTGAAGGACAGAATTCATTTTTTAAAAATCTAATTTAAGAAGAACATACTAAATCAGTGTGTTAGACTTTGTGCATTGGGCTGAGCAGAATCTCACCAATTTATCAATTTCTTTCAAAGACATTAAATAAGTTATCTGGATAGAACTGCCAATCCCAAGATCAGATCCCAATGTACTGTTTGTGTGACCTGGTAACAACTAAATATGAAAATAGTCTAATAAATGCATCTGACAGAATCTTTCAACTCAGAGGAAAAACACATTTGTGTAATTTGACATTTGACTTAAAAGCTTAACGTTCCTGAGATATTTTGACTGCAGCCAATCCGCCCCCTACATTTGTCCTTGAATATTGAATAGAATGAGTGTTTGACTTCATTACTGTGACTTTTTTTGAATTCTGAGCTGGGAATCTGAGCTAAGTTTGTTATATTATTATCTCAGGACATACTCAGATGATTGTACACCCTCTGTTGACTGTACTGCTCAGAAGAGAATCAAGCTTGATGTAAGTACATCAAGATATACGTGTTTATTTATACATTTGCATAAAAAGGTATACAAGCCTTCTAGAAATATGCTCAGGTGAAGTATTTATAAAATGAGTATAAAGGTAATACCCAAGGAGATGAAAATATAGATCTGAAGTTAGTCATTGCTCAGTGAAAGATAGAAAGTTACTTTAGCTATACATGGGGTGTCAAATAGAGACCTGCGCGGGACGGATTTATCATAAATAAATGTCACCACCTCCCACTCCCACCCGAAAGCGAATGCATAGGCCTACATAGATTTTTCCAGTACATCCATGAAATTTCCATGAAACGGTTTAAAGTTACGTGTCACCTAGCCACAACATTACCATCCCAGCATTATGCTCCCGATACATTATTTGTTATCAAAAGCATCTACATTCACGAACCTGTTATTTTCCACAGAAAAGCAAGCATAACCTACTGCATGTGTGTTTATGATCGCTCCCTTTATAATCACTAAAAAGCTGTCACTTTTAGTTAATCGTGATCTCACAAAGTTTGTTAATGAGAGGATTCACAAGCGTACAAAAGAACGGAACAAAAACGTTTTCAGTGGTGAGGGAATTCTAACTTAAACAGCTCTGATTGGCCACTGCGTTGAAGAAATCAACAGATATGTCTGTGATTGGCTACATTACTCAACGCTGCAAAAAACACGTTGTAAATAGAATCGTTTGACGCTCTCCAGATCGCAAATACAAATACGCACTGGATCACTTGCCAAATCGGTTTCGCTAATATGCTATTATGGCGAAAACTGATCCTAGACCTGCAGTTATGGGCAGCTTGGCATGCGCCTGTAAATAATTTGTCCTTTATTTTAGCTGTTCTTGTTGCTTTTGTGCTATAGATACAGTAAATAACCATTTATTTGCTTTAATTTCATCTCTTAGATATTTCTATGTTAAGGGATTCCCGCAAATCATTTTATTCTCCCGTAACCCGCAATCGCCCATTAAATCTTGTCCCGCGTCGCACTCCGTTGCGTCGGGTCCCAAGGTAACTTAGTCCCACGGGAGTGCAGGTCTCTAGTGTCAAACTTCAAAAAGAAGTTTTGAACTCCTTTTGAAATATTGATATTATAACGATATCTGTAACTCTATCAAACAGGTTGAAATATTCAGTGTTGGGGTAACGCGTTACGAGTAACATGCATTATGTAATCAGATTACTTTTTGATGTAGTAATGTAATGTCTTAATTTGCTTAAAAGCACTGAATTTAAATTCTCTCTCTTCTCCATATAACGTAGTCACTGAACATGCACACTAATGTATACGCGCAAACAGATAGAAAGTACAGAAGTAACAAAACACATTACTTTTCAGTTGTATAGTAGGCTATGTTATATAACCCATAGTGTTAAGAAAGCTTATGTATAACGTACATCGCTCTAAGGATCAGGAAATATTCAAAGTGCTCAGAATAATAATATTCATATGTGTTTTTACTGAAGGTGGATGTTATATAGACTATGTTGTTGAATACATTACTGCGTTAAACGCACACAAAAAAACAACACGTACAATGCCTCGAAGAGAGCGAGCCTCAGACAGATGAGAGAAAGAAACGCAAAAGTAACACAACGCATTACTTTACATAAAATGTAACAACGTAACTTAATTCGTTATTTTTGGGGGAGTAACAGAATATTGTAATGCAAAGTAAAAAAGTAACTTTCCCCATCACTGGAAATATTTTATATTGAAACAAATCAACTACTGTTACAAAACACATAATACTAACATGTTTCAGGTCACAGATTCGGACAGGCTTTCTAAGGACCCGGTAGCCAACAGTGACATCAGATCTACAGCAGATGACAACAGCCTCTCTGGAGAAAGTCTAGATAGTTTAACACAAGGTAAGAATTTTTATTATTATTATTTTGACTGCAGTGTTTGTCAGTAAATCCTAGACATGTAACCCCAAAACCATCATTGTCCCACATTCTGTGCAAATGCCACGCAGGGCCACTTCACACGTAAACTGGGTTACTTTGACGTAAAGACCGTGCAAGATTTTCTAAACTTGTGTCCATTCATACTCGTGTCAGGGTGAAACATTGCTGAAAGAAACCGTAACATGTGATTGAGAGGCATGTTTGTCTAATTGTGTGTGTCTTGATAGATATCAGCCCTCAGTTGCACCCGTCCTCGTCCCCTCACCCCCCCACCGACACCACTGGCCTCATCACCTGGAGTCGCCAGCTCATGCAGCAAACTCTCATGGATGAGGGCCTCAGATTGGCTAGAATGGTGTCACGTGACCACGCAAGCAAAGTCAGCCTAGGGTCAGAAAAGAGACAGATTTCAGGTGAATTCTGTGATGTTTTATAACATAAAGCACGCTTTTCATGCACCTACCATGAATAGGGTACAAAACATAGTTTGAAACTTAAATTGCCAAAAAAAGAGATGCTTATACCATCAGATGATTATCTACCTTGTTGTTGATCTACCTCAACAGGTAAAACGTATATAAGCTGTTAATTTTTTTTGTTAGCGTTTTATTTTAAGGGGGTGTAGTTACGCTACATATACTTACAGGGATAGTTCACCCCAAAATGAAAAATCTGTCAGTAATTAGTCGCCCTCATGTTGTTCAACCCTATAAGACTTTCGTTCATCTTCGGAACACAAATTAAGATATTTTTGATTAAATCTGAGAGCTGGATCACTCCTCCATAGGCTTCTTAAGGGATCGAAACTGGCCGGCCCAAAAGTTATGAAAGACATCGTTAAAATAGTCCGAGTGACTACAGTGGCTCAACCTTAAGTTTATCACGTGACGAGAATACTTTTTGTGCGCAAAAACAAACAAAAATACTGGAAACAGCACAGCGCTTTTAGGTTGTACGTCACACGCATCACACACATGACTAGCGTTGGCCAATAGTGAGCCTGCGTGTGACGTGCAACACAGAAGCGCTGCGCTGTTACACTACGTGAACTCACTGGAGGCCCACAGGGAAGGAAATGAATAGTTGAATAAAGTCGTTATTTTTGTTTGTTTTTTGCGCACAAAAAGTATTCTCGTCGCTTGATAAACTTAAGATTGAGCCACTGTAGTCACTCGGACTATTTTAACGATGTCTTTAATAACTTTTCTGGCCTATGGAAGAAGCCTATGGAGGAGTGATCCGGCTCTCAGATTTAATCAAAAATATCTTAATTTGTGTTCCGAAGATGAACGAAAGTCTTACGGGGTTGAACAACACGAGGGAGAGTAATTACTGACAGAATTTTCATTTTGGGTGAACTATCCCTTTAATAACAGTAAAACATACATTATTGCAATGTAACTAATCCTAAAACTTAACCCTATAGTAAAGGACATGTACACTATTAAGATGAGAAGGTTCTAAATAGAATCTAAAAGGTTCTGTCAGGCGCTTCATATATAGAACCTTTAGAGGTTCCCATCATGTGATCAGTTTATGGATTTAGTTTTAATTCTTTCATTTTGTAAAAAAAAATTTCATTTTGATTAAATGTTAGGAATTAAACAGCGTGTAAACATACTTTATTACTTGAAAAAACTTTAAACATGAAAGTATCATGCAATAATTTAAGACATTTTTACTAATATAGAACCTTTTGGGGTTCTTTAGAATTAAGTCAGAACCATAGGGATCTATTCACCTTATTCTTAAATGGGTTCGTTCACTCACAAATTAAAATTATGTCATTAATTACTCGCTCTCATGTCGTTTCAAACCCTTAAGACCTCCGTTCATCTTCGGAATTTTTTTTTTTATAGTTTAACTTATTATTATTTTTTGATAGGATTCGGTACCAGCCATAGGCAGCAACATCATAGCAACTTTCAAGGTCCAGAAAGGTAGTAAAGACATCATCAACTAAGAAATTTTTTCATCATATAAAGCGATCAAATCTCTTCAGAAAATTGACTAAACCGCTCGATTCATATGGATTAGTTTTACGATCTCTTTATGAACTTTTTGAAGCATCAAAGTGGTAGTTGCATAGCTGTCAATGGAGGGACAGAAATCTCTCAGATTACATCAAAAAGATATTCATTTGTGGTCTGAAGATGAACGAAAGTCTTACAGGTTTGGAACGACATGAGGGGGAGAAATTAATGACAGAATTTTAATTTTTGGGTGAACTAACCCTTTAACTAATGTTAACATATGAGATTTTATTATAAAGTGTTACTGAAATTCCCTTTAAAGGCTGCAGGTTCGCTATGAAAGAATTAATTTTTACTAGAGATGACGGTGAAGAGACTAACACACCTTGAAGTGTCTCAGAGGAATGCATTTATTGTACTTATCTGGTTAGCTAATTTTGCTCATCTTGGATGGGATGTATCAGAGATTGTCAATGAATTTGAGAAGCTCTTGCAGAGGCAAACATCTCAGTCAGACATCGTCGTCATCAGGGACTGCAGAATAAAAGAGAAATGAGAAGAGAAATGTGTTTGGGCGGAGGGGGCCACAGGAAGTGTGTGTGGGTGATAAACTGGAGCCCCTCTTCCCTGTCTGACGTCAAAGCTCATGAAAATGTGTGAGTGGAGGGCGGATGGATGGAGAGAAAGAGGGGGTGAATGAGGAGGAGGGAGTGAGAAGGGCGTCGCTTTGACTCAGAGAGACAGAGTAAAAATAAACCATGTGGGCAGTGAAAGGATGCAGTCTCTCTCTCTCTCTCTCTCTCTCTCTCTCTCTCTCTCTCTCTCTCTTAATGAGCAAACTCACCAGTGCTTCAGTTCAGTGGCCAAAAATGAGCTTTAATCAGTCTTTCTTTGTATTTTTTTGTCTCTCCTTCAAGTGAAAATGCAAGTTCCTCATTTCATTGCGCTGTCAATCATTCTACACTAACATTCCTCAGCATTGTTCTGCCTTCTCATAAAAATAAAGAGTTTTAATATAATATTTTATAACAAATCCGGATACGTTTGAAAACACATCATGTTTTGGTCGTCCACACCGAGGGTACGTTTACTCGACAACGATGTACTAAAAACGGATAAGATTTTCCTTTGCGATTATTTGCGTACAGATGATAACGTTGTCAAAACGATCCCCATTCACACGGTTCTGCAAAGACGAATACAAACGCTGTATTCTGCAGCCAAGCCAGTAGTTGGCGATGTCGCTTTGTAAAGAAACACTACGACAAGACAAAAGACAACTAAAGATAGCTGTGCGCTTGTTTCTCTGGCGCATAAGGTCTTATTGACTGAACACATAATACACACGACATCACTGTTTTCACAAATTAGTGTTTTTGTAGTTTACACAGAGACGATCACAGTATCATTTTCAAAAACGTGCACTTTAAACTTGTTTTCAAAAGTTTGCGTTTTCAGCCCCTCAAAATGCAGTTGTCGTGTAAATGAACGGCCAAAACGCATAAAATGTTTTCTGTTTTTAGTTGAAAACGATGTCTTGTAAACGGCGCTTATGTGTTTATATGAGCTTATGCGCTATATGAGTTTTGTCTTGTGAATTTTTTTTAAGACATTTAAAGAGGTAGTTCACTTTGAAATAAATTGTTGGTATGTTTTAGCTTACCTCAAGGGCATCCAAGATGTAGGTGTCTTTGTTTCCGCAGTAGTTTCAATTTTGATATTTTTAGGTCAAACCGTTCTTGTCTGTCAGTCATATAATGCAGGTCTATGGTCACCACCTCAAAGAGCATGCACAGAGAAGTCCAAATTAAACATGATTTAATGACTCGTAAATGTAAGGACACATTGATGGCCTAAGACACGAAACGAGCGGTTTGTGTGAGAAAACGAACAGTATTTATATCGTTTTTACCTCTTGTAAACACAGCCACGTCCAAGTGATCTGAGGGCGCGGGCGCTTCGGTCTTTTCCGGAAAGCGTCGGAAGTGATCTCTCACGCCTGTACGTCACTCATTCAATTGTTTAATTTTTTTATTTTTTTTATTGTTTTCTTTTACGCGGTTTAAACATCCCGGATAAGCGCAAATTAGTACCATTTTAATTAGCCGTCTTACCTACAATCTCTATTCTGTGTAAACAATGAGTGACGTACATGTGCGAGAGATCACTTCCGGCGCTTTCCGGAAAAGACCGAAGCGCCGGCGCCCTCAGATCACTTGGACGTGGCTGTGGTTACAAGAGGTAAAAACGATATAAATACTGTTCGTTTTCTCACACAAACCGCTCGTTTCGTGTCTTAGGCCATCAATGTGTACTTACATTTACGAGTCATTAAATCATGTTTAATTTGGACTTCTCTGTGCATGCTCTTTGAGGTGGTGACCATAGACCTGCATTATATGACTGACAGACAAGAACGGTTTGACCTAAAAATATCAAAATTGAAACTACTGCGGAAACAAAGACACCTACATCTTGGATGCCCTTGAGGTAAGCTAACACATACCAAAAAAATAATTTCAAAGTGAACTATCCCTTTAATACACTTTTTTACATTTGAAAATGGCATTGTCCTGTGGACCTTGAAAATTGAGGTATTTGAAAACGATGACACACGTTTAGTTATGACGCATATTGTATAGATATCTGTTTATTTGCCCGCTATTTACTTTTCTGTGTTGCTAAAGATAAATGTTACACTGTGCAATCGTCCTATTACATTCCTGCAAAGATGAGAGAAAATGTACTCGAATGCTGTCCTGCATCATAACAGCGATTGAGTGTAATTTGATTCTCACCAAAATCAATAAAATGATTGTGCCAGAAGAATAGTGTGAGATCTTTATTATATCTGGTCTCTAGGTATAATTTCAGTGAGCTTTTATTAAGTTTTACGCATGTGCAATAAGATGATTTGAACGTTTTCAGTTTGAATAAGCAACTTAGAAAATGTATAGTGTGGACATAGGGCATTTATATATATATATATATATATATATATATATATATATATATATATATATATATATATATATATATATATATATATTAATCTAATGTATCCGGTTTTAATAGAGCATTTAAAATATATATATATATATATATATATATATATATATATATATATATTAATCGAATGTATCCGGTTTTAAATTAAACGTAGCTTTTAGTAGTTTAATCAATCAGGTATCCACTTGTCTTAAAGCATTATCACGTCAATAATAACACAAGTAGAAATCCTGACATCTTGCTTGTTGTTTTCAATAGGAATGTGTCACTTTCAAAGGCAATTTGCTCACTCAAGTTAAGTCATTGAAACCTTTAAAAGTGTCAGTGTGAGCAAGCATATAACAATTGACATGTGATGCTGTAAAGTGCCCCCAACCCTGTTGATAGTCAAAAATGACTCAAATTTAAATAAAAGTAACCTTGTTTCTATTCTCGTAGAGATGGAGGAGAAGGTGTCCGATAGGAGAGGATCGAGTAACAGAAGCATCAGTCCAGCGAACACCAAAGACGATCCATAACCGATATTCTGCAAGTCTCTGTGTTGAACTCAGGTCGGATATCATCAGCCATGGTGTTCGGTTCGCTACGTTCATTAGTTCTGTTCGGTATTTTAGAACCTTGTGCTCTATTAGAGTCTAATAATTAGAGCATTTAAAGATGTAAAGTTGTGTCTTTTCAAATGAAATTTGAAGCAAACGCACGTTAGCGTAAAACAACGTGTTACAAATACATTTCATTTTCTTGGTCAGGATATTTTGACTTGACAGACAATGGTGCTAATTTTTATCCATTACCAAACCATTATTTATTAGGATAAATGGCATGCTTCTCATTTGAAGAGCTGTGAGACATTGGTTTCAGTAAGAGTGAAGAAAACTCAGTTCATGAGGTGCGTGTTCATTTAATCCAACCAATCACAATGCTAGAATACGCTTTATATAAACTGCTCAAACACTTCATTATGTACAGCGGGCAAAATATGTTAATGTTTTGGATTATGAAATTGACTCTATTGAGAAACCCTGACACTATTTACTTATACTGATGCAGTGAATATTAATATATCAACTGCTATATTTAAATGCTCATATTTAAGTAGACTTCCGAGGTTACAACAATATGTAAATAATTCAAATGAATCATGGGAAGAATAGTATTTTCACTGTTTAAAGGTTGAATGGCTATAATGAATATGTGCATTACAGCTCCAATATTAGAAATATATCTGTGGCCTCTTTAATGACAGAGTATTTATTTTTTAATTCCTCAATAAATTATATTGTAATGTTTCTGTTTTTCGTCTTGAGACTGTTACTTGCTAATAGTGTACAAATATAGAAACTTTGTTTAACAACATGCAATATATTGCTGATATTTTCACTTTTTTCCCATATGCTGCTTTTTGTCTGAGTACTGCATATGAAAATGTATAGCGAATTTTGTGGTTTCTGTCTCATTTCCGACACACTGATCCACCACCCACTCGCCCCAGTCTCATCTCAGCAAACCCAGACAGATGATGCCTGTGATTCACTGGCCCGATCATCATCATCATCATCAATCTCACAGATGGGGGAGTGTTTTGGAAACTTGTCTTAATTGTTTAAATTCTGAAAAATTCACCTTTATTCACTCATTAAATGGATGCAATGTGCTTGTAAAGACCAGTGATTGAAGGCAAAGGCAAACATTTAAATTCTGTCATCATTCAATTACCCTCATAACCTGCATAGATTTCTTTATCCGTGGAACACAAAAGAAGATACAGAAACCCAAACAGATATATGCATACTGGATAAACTGGTTAGCATGTGTTTAAAGTAACACATTATAAAAAGTAATGGCAAGACGTATACAAGACTAAAGAGTTTTGTCATGTCATGTAATCATCTTTATCCAATTATACGGAAATTATTATTTCCAAATATATATGGAAATAATCATCCCAGGTAACAAAAAAAAAAGTTCCACATATATTTTCCTAACGTTGCCATTAAGTTATGATTCTGAATGTTGTTTTTGTCATGGTTTCAAAGTCTCCCTGTTGTCAATAATTTTATTTGAAATTTTTTTCTTGAAAAATAATTTCTTCATGCCTTAAAATAGCTTGAATGTAACTCATTTAGTAAACGCGGTTCTATGAATATGCAAATTAGCCCCGCCTCCACTCACTCACTCAGCTCAGAGATCCACTGGTTGACGATCACGTGTTGATCTGATTGGTTACAAGCTAGTTTGTGTCGTCAGAAACGCCAGCGATTTCTAATTTTTTCTCGGTTATACAAATGTTAATGTAAAATTCCATTTTGCAAACATAATGATAACATTACTTTTGAAAGTTTTCTGAATGTTCTGAAACTAGTAGTAGCATTTAAAAAATGTTAGACGAATGTTTCAGAAAAAAACGTTCCATTAAAGATGTATAAATAATGTTTTTGATAATAACATTTTGAGAACATTATTAAAGAGCAGATAACTTTGAATGAATGTTCTATTATTGTTACTGGAAGAACGTTTCTTCACAACTTTGAGAGAACGTTGCCAGAACGTTAGCCGAAGTTCTGAGAACATTCCCTGTTAGCTGGGATACCACTGATTTACATGTAGCCTGAACATAATGATAATCTAATGAGGTTATACAGCATTCATGCCGCCTGTTGGTGTGATCCATTAATGCCCCACAAAACATCATTTTATAGTGCATTTAATCTTTAATTGATAAACAGCACTATTCACTGTCATGCGCTATAGGGTAATGAATATACAGCATTTGGGTAAAAACATAATAATTTAAAACAAAATAATGATATATTTCTATTTGTACAAAAACACTTTTCTGTGATGAAACCAAATAATTAGGGCAGGAGATGAGTCATAACATGATAAACAACGATGTGCATGTGTAATATTTTTGTTGTTCTTCCTGCTTTATCATATTCGCCCCAGTTTCACAGATAAGGCTTAAACTAGTCCCAGACTAAAATGCATGTTTGAGCTGTTTTAACTGATTTATCTTAAAATATGCCATTGTTTTGTCTCAAGATTCACACCAGTAATGTTTTTAAGGCACGTTAATAAAAGCTCCTTAAATTTCCAAATTGAATGAAGGCTTAATCCTGGCTTAATCTAAACCCTGTCTGTGAAACCAGGCCATTATGTGTTTGCACTTCAGCTTTGTATGCATTACAATTTAATAAAAAGAAATCTTGACCATCACTGACCAAACCTTAACTAGTTTCAAAATCCACTTTTTTTGTGTGTGTGAATTTGATTCCCAGCACTGCTTTTCTTCAGGTCATGTGTGTAGTGAGGTGACGCAGAAACTCTCCACGGGTGCTTGTGTGTCCCGGAAACACAGCGTGACAGAACTCACACACCTGCGACTGCAGCGTCATTCCAGACATGAACAGCCCTCCGGCTTGACTGATCAACTCGCTGTCCAGAAAGGAGGATGACCAGGGCCTCTGTGGGACACAAACACTCTTTTCACACACATCAGATTGTAAACTTCTCAAACGGATGGCTGTGTCCTTCTTAGTCTAGTCCTTGTCAGCATTAAACCCTAGAATGAGACCGTCTAGTAAGTGAGCATGACTATGTCACGCATGTTCCTGCTCCCATGGTCACGGCACAAAATTACTATTAAAACTTAATTTAGGAAAGATACTTTGAATTAAAAATCTTTATATTAACTCGGTCTCCCAGTGGCTTACATTATTGGCAGTTTAGTGTTAAAGCCCCACTGTAGTCCATAATTTTATCCCTTAAAACATCTTTGATCACCAAAGTGACATATTTTGTTAATTTTGGTGTCACTTTATGTCTGTGTGGTGTTTTTAATATGCTTTAAGACAAACCATGTGCAAATTCATAAGTCGACAGCATTGCTGAGTATTTTCTGCTTAAAACTGCATTGAACCAAAGACAGCCTCAAAAACACGGTTTGAAATCGCTGGTGTTTCTGACGTCACAAACTACCTTGTAACCAATCAGATCAACGTGTGATCGTCAACCAGTGGATCTCTGAGCTGAGTGAGTGAGTGGAGGCGGGGCTCATTTGCATATTCATAGAACTGCGTATACTAAATGAGGCAAGGGTAGAGTTACACTCAAGCTATTTTTAGGCATGAAGACTTTTTTGTTTTTCAAGGAAAAAAAAAAACGTTTAAATGTGTCATTTTGGTGATCAAAGATGAGTTTTAAGGGATAAAATTATTGACTACAAGGGGACTTTAAATTCTTGCATAATTCTTTTATGGGGGTTACTTTTTACAGACATTTTTTGTCTGGTTTAGTTTACGAGCTGTTTAATTAATATAATTTCATTAAAAAATTAAACCAAATCCATAATATTACTTATTGACCACTGTTTCTACATATATGAAGCCTCTGACAGAAGGCTTTCAAGGTTTTATATAGAACCTTTTCTAACAAGAGTGTAGAAAGAAGTTTAGCAGGAGGTGTGGTCAGAAGGACTAGACACAATAAATTAAAAGTCCTTCAAGTTTAGGAGCTTAAAACAAAGAAAACCGGAGTGAACCAAAGCTAACAAAAAACAGGTATGATACAAACCCGCAGCCGTTGTGAAGTCTGGTTTGCATAATAATGTTGCTCAACTTTCCTCAGGTCATCCCAGGCACTGTTTTCCACCGTCTTTACGGGATTATGGAAAACCACATTATCGTGGCTACCTTGTTTCTGATCGGACACGTCCAGGTTAAGATGCAGTTGGTCTAATCCTCTATCAATGTGACTGAGATCATGAGCAGCTGAAAAACAAACACATAAACGGCAGAATGAAAAAAACGTTAAAAAAAGTAAGAGACAAATGACAAACAAAAAAAGATACTGAATATCAACGGTACACTGACAACTCTCATTGTAAATTTCACAATTATTTACAATGAAACGGCTTGTAACACTGAATTAAAAATGACATTTTAAAGTACTCAAATTATCTTTGTTGTATTTTAAAACTATTTACATCAGTGTAGACTTTAAAACTTTCAATGGAGAATAACTTTCATAATGAGAATCCTGTACTTTGAGGGTTCAGTATGTGTGTTTCAGTGGGATGTCTCCGGGATTCTGCAGGATGGGGTTGGTGTCCCGTCTTGTTCGCTGTACACGTGCACAAGTTGGCCGACTCTGAAAGTGAACATCAGTGTCATTTAAATCATTTATCATAGTCTCTACGATCATTTAATACATTAAGATATTAATAATACAAAACTGGTTAGTCCTTTGACCTTGTTGTCGTTGCACTGTGTCAGAGAGATGTTGTAGCATTGCTGCTTGTTTTAAGCAGAGAGACTGGAGACGGACAAACTCCTGATACAGCGCTGTATACGCCTCCTCCATCTTTATGAGTGGAGGAAAATTAAAAATAAAAATTAATGGAAAGTCTTTGCGCTTGCAGTCAACTTCTGTATAGTAAGAAATAGAGAAAGAGAGAGAGAGATTTCCACCATTGTTACAAAAAAAACACTAACGTACATTTCATTGACCAAAATAGAGCAAATTCACTCAATGTCATTAAAAGACTATTTACAGATTATGAGATTTTTTCCCCCAGCAAAATTTAACAGCAAAAACGCAGTGCATATAAAAGTAACATCCAAAAATGAAGGCTGCTCTGTCCCTTCTCAAACATCTGTGTAAAGTCATAATGCTGCTAAAAGCCAGATTAAATTATGCCTGCTCTGATCCATCTCAGGCCCTAGAATCAAATTATACAGTCGTAATTGCAACTATGCCACCTCTGAGCATTAAAGTCGGCATGAAACTGAAGTTGCGATAGTTTTTTGCTTTTCAATTGCGACGTACACTCACCTATAGGATTATTAGGAACACCATACTAATACTGTGTTTGACCCCCTTTCGCCTTCAGAACTGCCTTAATTCTACGTGGCATTGATTTAACAAGGTGCTGAAAGCATTCTTTAGAAATGTTGGCCCATATTGATAGGATAGCATCTTGCAGTTGATGGAGATTTGTGGGATGCACATCCAGGGCACGAAGCTCCCGTTCCACCACATCCCAAAGATGCTCTATTGGGTTGAGATCTGGTGACTGTGGGGGCCATTTTAGTACAGTGAACTCATTGTCATGTTCAAGAAACCAATTTGAAATGATTCGAGCTTTGTAACATGGTGCATTATCCTGCTGGAAGTAGCCATCAGAGGATGGGTACATGGTGGCCATAAAGGGATGGACATGGTCAGAAACAATGCTCAGGTAGACCGTGGCATTTAAATGATGCCCAATTGGCACTAAGGGGCCTAAAGTGTGCCAACAAAACATCCCCCACACCATTACACCACCACCACCACCAGCCTGCACAGTGGTAACAAGGCATGATGGATCCATGTTCTCATTCTGTTTACGCCAAATTCTGACTCTACCATCTAAATGTCTCAACAGAAATCGAGACTCATCAGACCAGGCAACATTTTTCCACTCTTCAACTGTTCAATTTTGGTGAGCTCTTGCAAATTGTAGCCTCTTTTTCCTATTTGTAGTGGAGATGAGTGGTACCCGGTGGGGTCTCCTGCTGTTGTAGCCCATCCGCCTCAAGGTTGTGCGTGTTGTGGCTTCACAAATGCTTTGCTGCATACCTCGGTTGTAACGAGTGGTTATTTCAGTCAAAGTTGTTCTTCTATCAGCTTGAATCAGTCGGCCCATTCTCCTTTGACCTCTAGCATCAACAAGGCATTTTCGCCCACAGGACTGCCGCATACTAGCCTCGTGAGACCATCCTGATCTCGCGAGCTTTCAAGGTTTCACTCGCAGATCAGTCTGGATACTTTCCGTTAAAGAAAATTTGGGAGCAGTTCACCAAACGAACGTCCAATCAGCGTTGGCTTTGAGGCGGGTTGAGGTGTGACGCAACGAGAAGCGCGTCAGTTCAGTCTAAAGAACATGTCGGCTTCAGCGGATGAAACTAGCATCAGCGTGGCTATCGAGCAAGTTTTATCGGAATTACAGAGTATTTCTTCACTGAAAGAAGAGCAAAACACTGCTCTGGAGGCTTTTCTCAGAGGAAAAGATACGCTCTGTTAGTACGTCATATGCTTCGTTGATCTGATTGGTTGATTTGGCCCGTCTATCACCAACATAGGCCAATCAGCTAACCAGTATTTTCGCCCCTTACCAAAACTACTTCAACGGAAGGTTTCCAGATGGATATGCGGAGCAAATCCATCTGGCGGAGTCAGGTTAGCCGCATACTGGATGTTTTTCCCTTTTCACACCATTCTTTGTAAACCCTAGAAATGGTTGTGCGTGAAAATCCCAGTAACTGAGCAGATTGTGAAATACTCAGACCGGCCCGTCTGGCACCAACAACCATGCCACGCTCAAAATTGCTTAAATCACCTTTCTTTCCCATTCTGACATTCAGTTTGGAGTTCAGGAGATTGTCTTGACCAGGACCACACCCCTAAATGCATTGAAGCAACTGCCATGTGATTGGTTGATTAGATAATTGTATTAATGAGAAATTGAACCGGTGTTCCTAATAATCCTTTAGGTGAGTGTACATCTGATTGAAACAGTGTCACGACGAATCGGGTCCTCCCCCGAAATCAGTTAATGATTTTACTAAGTACATACAAACAATATTAATTTGAAATATGTATAGCTTACTATATAGTGCATAATAGCCTAAAACAAAATGAACGTTTCTTTCACTTGATAAAAGTGTTAGTTAATAGATAAATAATAATAGCCTATTAAGTGAATAAATGAACATGATTACATTCTTTTTAAAACTGAAATATTTGGAAATGTAACACTTAATTTAACACATAATTACATTGTGAATACATGTAGGGCGAGTACAAATGCATGTATAAAATAAGCTATCAGGCCAATAGGGTATCTGTATGCTATGCTAGTAGGCTACATAGGCTAATTAATACAAACATTAATGGTCATTATAACGTTAATTCAAAATGCATTTATCATAACATGATTTGGTAGGAATTGTAAATTGGCGAGTGCCTATTAAAAGTAATTTGAGCCAATGGGATCGCTTGGGGTCCTAGGCCCAATTTGCGAGTAGTACCCGATTCGTCACCACAATGGCTTCTGGAACAAGAACAAATTTTTAAGTTAAGTTAACCACTTTATTAATCCCACAAGGGGAAGTTATATGTAGGGCGTGGTTTGATTCTGTCCATTGGGAATTGATTGGATGTTTGTGGTTTGCGATTGGTGGATCTCATGTGAGTGACAGGTTGCCCTGCCCTCACGCCAGTAAACACATCATCAGAGAAGAGATGTTTCTGCAAGAGAGAGGGGAAGCTATTTTGATTAAAGATTTCGAGGCACATGAATTTAAAACAAAAAAATAATTAGAACAGAATATTGCTTCGACAAACAGGGAAGTAAACACAACAGATTACAGGTTTCTGGTGCCACAAAAAAAGTTGCGGTTTATTTTACCATCGGGAGTGACAGTTATTGACTTTTTTTTTTTTTTTTACTTTAGCTTCTTACACCGCGAGTGAGACAAGTTAATAAACTGGGTGCGGTCACAAAATTATAACATCTGAATATGTTTGCCCTCTTGACTTGACATTTAAAAACTTGGCTACAACCTGTCAGGGTGAGAACAACTTTTCAGTTTTTCCTTTCGAGCGATAGAATCAGATACGGCTTAACAGAGGTGGCGACAGCTTCGAAGTCGAAAGGTATTTTCTGACTGAGGTGACATTTTTCTTGTTGGACATTTCAGTTAACCGATAGTTAGCTAGGTTAACAACAATGGGTAAACCTCAAACCATCAGAATCATCCGCGCAGTGTTCCTCCGGCTACTTAACGTTAAACCACAGTGTCAACCGAAAGCACAACAAACACAGAGCAGCCTACCTTTGTTTGTACCACCAGATATTCAAGAATAAATCTGTAGCAAACAATAGCAACACGTTTCTACATTGCATTGATTGATGTGGCCACAGAATGAAAGCATAAAGAGGAAGAACAGATTGCATAATTGTATAATCTACGTGCTTACTAATATCCAGACATTCGTAATCAACTCTATACAATGGAAGATATATTTTTTTTTACGTTTGTCCCTCTGATGACCGTGCGATGAGGAGTCCGTATGCAGTCCAGCGTAAACTTTACAAATTGATGAAAACAGTAAGTTTTGGCTATCAGGAAATCAAAAACAGGAACTCGAGCAGTACCTCCTCCCGGGTGGGTCAGTTAAAGTGACCCAGCATGCACAGAATCAGCGCATTATCTATTATCACGTCTGTGCTCGAGTAAACTGTCCACACTGGATCATGGGAGCGTAGTGTTAGTGTCTACTGCGTATTTAAGTGGGTTACTAGTGCGTACTGTACTGTATGTATATTTTTTTTGTTAAAGGGGACATGAACTGCATTGTTTTATTATGTTTCCTGGGGTGCACTTATAATGTTAGTATGATTTTTACATCAAAACGTTTTTATTTATTTTTATTTTAGCCTCTGATTTGAATGCTCTGTTTAAAGGGGCATGTCGACTTCAGTGTAAACGCCCACTGCTGTGATTGGCTGACATATTTGCTTATGAAATAGTTAATTATCACATGCGGAACTCTCTCGCAAACTTTAACCACATTTTTACTTTTACAGCTGTCAAGGTTAACTAATCAAAATTAATCTTGATTGATGAATATTTTCTTGTTCAAAAAGGATAGAGGATTCGACCTCAATCCAATTTCAAACCCCAAACTTTTTTGCAACCCTTAGACATAAAATATGAACCCCCTGAGATTTTAAGTTATATTCAATCATTTAACAGCACATTTACATATTCACGCTCCTCTGGTGTTTCTAAATAGTCACATGACAAGTAAAATAGATTTAAATAAATATTTAATATTTTTTTTGTAAGTGTTTTATTTTGACATAGCTGGACTTTAAAGTGGACTTTTTAGTGATGATGCCTTGGATTTCTTTTAAAAATGTCACATGATTCTTCAGAAATTAATAGGTGTGTTCGACTTGAAGCGCCGCTGTAGACCGATTGGTGTATGACATGATCCAAGTACCAAAAGAGCGATTCAAAAGCATTACAGGGGAGCCGTCTGATCGGTCTCGCCCCGGAGCCGATGCCCCAATGTAAGTCTAACCAGGGGTGTGAGCCGGCAACTACCGTGCCAGAGAGAATTTAGGTGGTTTTGGACACAGAGGACTGGTTAATCGTCCGGGTCTCAACTGCATCCCACCCTATCCCAGAACTGTCTGTTCTTCATCATTGCTGTTTCAAGACAGCACTGAAACTTGTATGGACTGTGAAATATCTGTTTGCTCGTCATCGCTGTTTCAAGACAGCACTGAGACTGTTTCATTGACCTGTATGGAATTGTAATTACCGTTATTGATCTCGCCAAACTTACCTCTCACACCTTCACCGCAGTGCTCAGCCAGTCCTCCAGCCCACCTCTGCTGGATGGCCTAAGTCAGCTGTTAATGAAGTCAAAATGCTTGTGCAACAGGGTGGCCAAGCTTCAATCAGGGGCCACCATGGCCTTTTAAAATACCCTTTTCTGAGGATCTGCCTCAGAGCTTCAGTCCTCCAGCTCGGCCCAGTAGGGAGGTTCCCCTGGCTCCGCTCCCAGCCCACGAACTCATCACTCCACTCCAGTGGACCTGTCAGCTCCGCCTTGGCACGTCCCTCCCTCGGCTCCATCATTCTGACGGCTCCACGGGGCTCCCTCGTCCCACCGACTCCGCCTCAGTCCTCAGGCTCCCTGGTTCCCCCTCGGATGTTCGTCGCCGCAGCTCCACCTCGTTCTCCAGTGCCAGCCATGTTGCGTGGGCTCTTCGTCTCGTCAGCTCCACCCGGGTCTTTATCTCCAGCTGCTCCATCTCCATCGGTCGTCCCCAGCCAAGACCAATGCTCTTCTGCCCTGCGGCCTCGTCCTGGCTGGACTCTGGACTCTATCATCGGGCTCCTTCTGCTCCTGCCTCACCCTGGCTCCTCCCACCATTGACTGTTTTGTTTGCCCTGAACTGTTCGTGTCTTTCTTCCTGTGGGAAGATGGGAATATTCCCCAGCATTTAAACTCTCTCATGAACGGCTGTGGGTGCGGCTTTAAATGATTAAAAAAAAAAGTTTTTCCGTTGCTCATTTGAGCACTTCTGGGACAGGTGTAATAGTTTTTTTTCTAGAAACATCTTTGCAAAGACGATTCAGACTAATGCCATTCCATTAATCAACATAGTGGTTTTGCACTCGGTCCTTATCAATCATATCAATCATTATAATCTCATTTTAAGATTATAAATGAATTACATCTTTTACTGCTCTCCAGTCAGGGCTGAACATTTCTAAATATGCGGGCAACACAGCGAATATAGTATGTCCAGATTACATTCATACTAGGCTACACACACTCATACTTTTTTTTAGCGGTCGTGAAGTAATCACTTCAGTAGGCTACCTACTCAAGAGATTTTGGACGCAGCCACAGTCATTTGCTTCTTTTCCAGGTGGAATCAGCCGTTTTGAACGAATCGTTTGAAGGATTCAGTGACTCATGAACACTTGCTGCCACTTATAGGCTTAGCGGCTTTAGTTTCCCATCTAAAAGTGGGCCTATTTTTTCATTTTTTTCCAACATTTCATATTTCTATAGGCCTATTTATAGTTTTATATTTAAAACATTAATCTCATAACATTATGCAATTGTAATTGCTGTGCAAATGCAGCTGAATACCACATCTAAATATCAGCTTCTGTGCTACTGAGCAGTGCTTAACATGCTTAAGTTTCAATAAATGTTAATGTACAACATTGGTTAATTAAGTCTGACACTTTTTTTACAGTCTATGGTCGGATATGACGAAAGTAATAATTTCGAATTCAAGATCTGATTCGGTTCAGGAAACAGGCTGGGTTGTATTTTTTTATATAACTAAAATGAATCGATTAATCAAGTCAATTAGATTTCCCATAATAAAAACGAATGTAGCCTACCTACTGACAGTCTGAAACAGCAGATTTACAGCAGAATCAACGGCTGTATAGCCTACTTGTATCTTCCCGCGCTAACATCTTCTTCTTCTTTTTTTTCTTCTTCTTTTTTTTTATAATGCAATAATAACAAATACAAAACAAGACAATAATAAACAATAAACAACACAGAGGGTTACATACTGAACATAAATAATATTGAACTAGCTTAAATGATTGACACCATTGCAGAGTCATACATGCAGCAGAGTTTCTAGAGTTCCTCAAAGAATTGCTCAAACGTCAAACCTTTCTCAGTCATGACTGGGTGAAGCTTGAGCAAACTGGCAGAGCTATTAGCTTTGTAGAAAAACTGACAGACCTTTGCCATTCCTTCTGAAATGTGACATTCACCTCTAATTAAATGGGTGTGGAACATGGCAAGCAAGTTTACTGTGTAGGTTTATTTTATTAGATTTAATTAATTGTAATATTTATTCAATTTAACTGCTTCTAATGTAGGCTACCACATAGATTGCCAAGCCCTGGCTAATAATAACATACACAAAACAAGCACTAGGCTATATATAAAAGAAATCAAACTTGACAGAAACTTCATATTTAATGCTACTTCATTATTTGTAGAATTTATTCAATAGATTATATGCTTTCTTGAGAACATTTGCTATTGGTTTGTAAAAGATGTCATGATTCATTCTACATGTTTGAGATTAGTTTTCGTTGCATTTACACCATTTTGAGCAGCAGGTGCCGCTAAACTGTGGTGTTTTAGCGCTTCGAGTGAATATGGAATAGCTAAGTTGATTCAGAGTTTTCAAAAAAAACTTTGTTTCTCCTATCACTAAAGTTTAGCACCATTAATAATACCTTACAATTACAGTGTATGTATCACAATCAGTGCAGTTATTTCAAGTCTTTGGTAACTTTGGACCAGCTTTGGACAGAGATTTGTTGCTCTCTGGAACGACATTTCCGGTCTAACCCGGAAACGCTTCAAACTCCACAGAAGCCTCCAGTTAGCTTAGCCTCGTTGCTTCTTATTTTGATTATCAAATATAAGAATAACATATTGCGTAATATTTGAATTTATATTATATTATATTATTCAGAGTCAGCGCACAGCGATACTCATTCTAAAGGTAAAACATACATCGCCCGAATTCTCGATTTTGAATGTCTAAATGTCTTGTTTTGGTGTCATGGTTGATACAACAATTGTCGCTGTTAGAGCTTACAAAGTAATTCAATTATATAATACACATCTAACATATAAATAAGCGATGTATTATAGTGTCTTTCTAACGATGCACATGTATTAATAGTGTTGTTGTTGTTGTGTAGGTCGGTGTTCATACGCTTCTTTCTCTGTTTTCAGTATTCATGATTCTTGAGGTTTCTGAGAGCTAACCAGCTGATCATGGAGAAAGGTAAGACAACATGAACATTATATTAACAGAAGAATAACATTAATATGTCATAAGACTGAGCTTTTATTACGTTTGCTGGTTCAATAATAGATAAAGTTTGGCAGACAACGCTACTGATTACTATAGTACTGTAGAACAGGACTCCTTTTTGTAAGCAATTTCATATAATCAGATATTTTCGGTGATCTACTTAAGGGGTTTTCAAACTGGGCTCCGGGGAGTGTCAGATAGTCTGTGGAAAAGTCTAGATAAAACATGTGAATTGGATTATTAAAAATATGTGGGGGATCAGTGGCATCTAAAATATTGAAAAGCTGACCGGATGTGTAGAATAATTACTATAATCACACTCTATTCACGTGTTTATGCGTTCTTGTTGATAATGTGATGTGTTGTAGATGTAAAGGCGGGCATCTCGTCTGCCGTGGCTGCAGGAGCGTCAGTCGGGCCGATGGTTTCGCAGAGCAGGTCTGAGGACGAGGAGGCCAGTGGTGTGAAGAGAACCGCCGCTCAGGCCTTCAGTGGAGCGGGAATGATTCCCAAACGCAGGAGCTCCTCCAGGTCAAGAGAGCTCACCTGCTACCGTCTGCTTCACTACTGCTACTGTACACGTCATTGTAAATCAAAGGTGTCTTGTCATTATATTCAATAGATCAATAAAGAGAAAGAAGTTTGATGATGAACTGGTTGAGAGTAGCCTCGCGAAATCTACCAGTCGGGTCAAAGGTCAGCCAGTCATTGAGCCAATCCGATGCCCTGGGAGTGACCTCGCATCCAGTGACAAGAAGAAGGTAATGAAGGTCATTATACAACTCTGCGGAATATTTAATTGTGGTTAATCGTACCATTTTCTGGTCAAGCATCACTAAACTGTATAATTGACCTCTGAAAATGGGCGTGAGAGAGTTAATCACTACCAGTCAAATGTTTGTAATAATTATAGTTTTCTAATGTGTTTGAAAGAAGTCTCTTCTGCTCACCAAGGCTGCATTTATTTGATCAAAAATATCAATATTGCAAAATATTATGACAAATTAAATTATTTAAAAATGTAATTTATCCCTGTAAATATTCAGCATCATTACTCCACTCTTCGGTGTCACATGACCCTACAGACATTATTCTGATATTATGATTGGCTGCTCAACAAACATGTCTGATTATTATGTTTATTGAAAACTGTTGTGCCGTTCCTTAATTTTGTCGAAACCATTTAAAAGTTTAGGGTAAGATTTAAAAAATATTATTCTGCAAGGACGCATTACAATGTTCAAAAGTGATAGAGACATTTATAATGTTACAAAAAAAATCTATTTTAAATACATGCTGTTCTTATCCATTAAATAATCCTGGAAAAGGTATCATAGTTTCCACAAAAATATTGAGCAGCAAAAACTATTCAGCATTGACAGTAATAAGAACCATTATTAATAACTGAGCAGCAACAATAAATGATAAGAATTGAGCATTAAATCATCATATTAGAGGGATTTCTGAAGGATCATGTGAGTAATGATGCTGAAAATTTAGATTTGATCACAGGAATAAATTACATTTTAAAACATATTCACATAGAAAACAGTTCCTTTAAATTGCATTAATATTTCACAATATTACTGTTAATACAGGATGTCTGATTTAATAAACGCAGCTTTGGTAAGACACTTCTTAAGAGCATAAGACACTTCTTTTTAAAAAACATTAAAAATGTTCTTATTCCAAACTTCTGAGCCGTAGTGGAAGTGTGTGAGAGTAAATGTGAATATCCAAGGCATGTTTGTGTGTTGTGCGCGTATACGATCATTTCATGTGAATGTGAGAGCGTTTTATGTATATGTAAATGGTAACATTTCAATTACTCTAAACTGCACCTGATGATAATTGTCCCAGGCAACAAATATCCCACATGGCTGCTGTAGCGTGTCTTGTGTTACTTTGTGATTTTTCTATTTTATATAATTCAATCATTTATATAATAAGATGTATATCATTCTCTTTCATTTATTTTGAAGGTAGGTGCAATATATACAGGTTTATATTCAGTGACGGTGTTTTTCTCAATTCTTACAGAATTGTTTAGTGTTTGTGATGATAAACTCATTTTCATTGAATGTGCTTTGATTTGTTGTAGTTGTTGTTTCTGAACCGTAGGGTTTAAAGTCCGGTAGCTCTCTGACGCCTCCTCTTACCATGGTGATCACTCCTTCATCAATGTCCAAACGAATGAAGAAAAACAAGCAGCCGTTACAGATAACCAAAGACCTGGGCCGCTGGAAACCCACGGATGACCTGCTGCTCATCAATGCTGTCCTACAGGTCAGCGGTCAGATCTGAGTGTGTTTAGAAGCTGGCTAGTTCAGAGATGAACTGAAGTGCATGTACTTTATGTTCAGACTACAGATCTCACGTCAGTTCATCTGGGGGTGAAATTCAGCTGTCGCTTCACACTGCGGGAGATCCAGGAGCGCTGGTACGCTCTGCTGTATGACCCTGTCATATCAAAGTGAGTTTTTGACCAAAGCATCATTCTTATATAGCTATAGGCCCAGTTTTAAACATTAAAGGAAGAGTTCATAAAAAATAAAAAAAAACTGTCATCAACGTCATGTTGTTCTGAAACCCTAATGGCTTCCACAAAACGCAAAATTTATAGAATGTTTTCCACATTAATTTCATAATAGTATCAGAAAAGATATACCTATTGTCCTATAGCTCTTTGAAGCTATTGTTTCCACACTTTAAAGGATTAGTTCACTTTTAAAAAAACTTTTGCTGATAATTTACTCACCCCCATGTCATCCAAGATGTCCATGTCTTTCTTTCTTCAGTCGAAAAGAAATTAAGGTTTTTGATGAAAACATTCCAGGATTTTTCTCCATATAATGGACTTCCATGGGAACCAGACGGTTCAAGGTCCAAAAGACAGTTTCAGTGCAGCTTCAAAGGGCTTTAAACGATACCAGACGATGAATAAGAGTCTTATCTAGCGAAACGATCGGTCATTTCAAAAATAAATAGAAAAGTTGAAGTTTAAAAAGCACAAATGATACACGTTCGTGACTCTCCTGTTCGAACTCGTTCATCAAAATGAACAAATCTTTTTTCGAGTCATTTCGTTCATTCAACGAACGAAATGACTCGAAAAAAGATTCGTTCATTTTGATTAACGAGTTCGAGCAGGAGAGTCACGAACGTGCATCACAGAACAGAGCAAGGCCAGCATTTTTGTGCTTTTTAAACTTCAACTTTTCTATTTATTTTTGAAATGGCCGATCGTTTCGCTAGATAAGACTCTTATTCATCGTCTGGTATCGTTTAAAGCCCTTTGAAGCTGCACTGAAACTGTCTTTTGGACCTTGAACCGTCTGGTTCCCATGGAAGTCCATTATATGGAGAAAAATCCTGGAATGTTTTCATCAAAAACCTTAATTTCTTTTCGACTGAAGAAAGAAAGACATGGACATCTTGGATGACATGGGGGTGAGTAAATTATCAGCAAAAGTTTTTTTTTAAAGTGAACTACTCCTTTAAGTTAGAAATAACTATATTTCCGTTTATATTTTTGACATCAATTTTAATGGGACTATTAAGCAGAGCCACTAATGAAGTCTTATTACAAGAGGCTTCCTCAATTGCTTGTCACCTAACTCCACCAACTATACTTTCTTTTTTTAAATAGATAATTTTTTTAAATTAATTATATGAATAAATGTTTTGTAAAATAAATACCGCTCAAATTTCTTTGTATATATATATATATACAATACACATACATGCATAAAAACATATAAAGTTGGTGGCAGATGTAAAAACATTGCAAAACATTGGTGCAATGAATTTATTTTCTATTACAAAATATAAAAATTTCTAATGAGAGTCAAGTAAGTACAAAGTAGGTAATGTCTAAGTATTAAGAAAACCACAGATGTATGTTTGCTTTCTTGAAGCAACACACACACACACACAGGTTGCTATTAAGAATCATTAGATCCTACACAGATGAACTTTCCCTCCAGTAAGTCTTTACCGCTTTGTATGTAAAACAGTCCTCAGGTTTTGTTGTCTGGAAGGGTTTGGAATGATATGAGGGTTAGTAAATAATGAAGGAGTTTTAGTTTTTATTTAGTTTTTTTTTTACTCTTTACTTTATCCTAGAATCTGAATGTCCATTTCGTAAGGGTTTTGTCTGTTCCTCAGGCTGGCGTGGCAGGCCATGAGACAGCTTCACCCAGAAGCCATCGCTGCTATCCAGAGTAAAGCTCTCTTTAGCCAGACAGAGGAAGCCCTGCTCGCCAAGATCATCTCTGTGAGCAAATGACATCTGCACTTTAATCCCATGCATTTGATGATATGTAGCAATGAATGCTTTCTAGATTTTGGAATTGTTTGAAATGTATCTCTTCTGTTTTGTTTCCTTCATATTTAATTGACCCTTGCCTCGTGTTTGTGAGTAGAGCAGTCAGCCTAAGCTGGAGGTGTTTCAGGATTTGCTGAACAAGCACCCGAATGTGTTTTACCCATCACGCACTGCTAAGAATCTGCTGGTGCACTGGCAGCTGCTGAAGCAGTATTATTTACTGGAGGATCAGAGCGGTGAGATGCTGTTAAAATGTCACTCGGTCTGATGATCCTGCTTGTGCTGATCGCTGTCATTTAATTTCATCTGATTTGTTTCTAGTTCAACCTCTGCCTAAAGGAGAGCAAGTGCTGAACTTCTCTGATGCAGAGCAGGTGGTTGATGACGCCAAACTCAAGTAAGTAAACCATTTTATCATCTCACCTACCTAACAATACACCATCATGTGTTGTGAGTTCACTGACTAATACTAGTAACACTTATTCCTCCAGTGTGCATATTAACTTTTTTAAACGAAGCGAAGTTGAACATTTTTAGATGTTGTTATGCTGCAGTACACAGTTCAGAATGTCACATCAGCCACCAGAAAACCGTGAGAAAACACATTCATGCACTGTGTTAGCGGTGTATTATTAACTTGCATGTACTTGCGGTGCTATCAGTAAGCATTACACGGTCGTAGCTGTGTTCTGAGAGCTCCTACTTGTACCACATGACCCCTGCATATTGATTTAGGCGTTGATAGTGTTTCCATAACCGAGTAGAACATCACGTGCTGTCATCTCGAAACGACTGTAATTATGAGATGGCGTGGACGCAGCATTTAAGTACAAAGTTACTTCCTTTTTTACGTGCATGCTAGCATACATGCACCGCTTTATAATCTTTTAGGCTAGAGTTGTACAAATACGGCTACTTTCTAACCTCTTTGCACAGTCTCTCATCCACGTTTACGGTATGTGCGTACTGAACTGATGACGATATTTTGCGTTATGCACACTGTACGCAGACCCTAGCATACGCCTAAGAAGAGAAGTGTACTTTGGGTTTTAGCACACTCCACTTTGCGACGGCTGGTTCTTTGTCTCCAATGCACACCTAGCCGGATAATCCCATTCAACTTATTTTTTTTAGTGTGTCATAACACATTTAAGTATTTTACACCTTGTCCTTTTCTAAAGTTTACATATAACATTAGTTCTTACATTTACATTTATTCATTTAGCTGACGCTTTTATCCAAAGCGACTTACAATTGCTATATATGTCAGAGGTCGCACGCCTCTGGAGCAGCTAGGGGTTAAGTGTCTTGCTCAGGGACACATTGGTGTCTCACAGTGGATTCGAACCCGGGTCTCTCACACCAAAGGCATGTGTCTTATCCACTGCGCCATCACCACCCCTTCTTAATAGAGCGCTGCAGTGATGATGTATTTCCATAAGTTTGCATCACCCTGGTTCATCTCGACAAAACCCAATAGGATTTTTCCTATTAGCTTTTGGATTATTGCAGGAATAAGCTCTGTGACTAGTGAAAGTTTATGATTCTTACACATTTTTCTCATGATGATAATCTTCCTCTCAAATGAACACAACTTTCAACCTAAATACAATCGGCAGAAGTAAAAAGCTAAATGCAGGCTATAAACGAACTACATTACGGTCGCTTGACTTCAACGACACCATCACTAAGCTTTTGACAACTGTTTATTTAAATATATTTTCCTTGAAAGTGAGTTATAATAGTTGGCAAGAGTGCGATTATAAACACGAGGATGTAAAAGTGGACTAGTGTGTAAGATAACCTGTTTGATGATGTTTAATGTGTTTTTAAGACAAGTGAAAGCTTTAAAAACAAATCACAAAGAGGGTATTGGAATACAATTTGAAATTAAAGCTGCAAGCAGCGATGAAAGGGCCCTCGCACCCGTGCCACCGCCACCCGGTGGCTTTAGGAAGACAGAGCACGGTGGGCAGTATATAAATATAGGGGGAATATGTTAAAGTAATTTGCCCCACCCAATTCTGAAACCCACATCACATGTACATTTTCACCACTTCTGAAGTGTGTGCAAAGTTTCATTAGTTTTCGAGCATGTTTAAGCCGGAGGACTATGTCAAAGTCATTTATTTTTATCACACTTCCTGCTACCAGCAGGTGGCGCTATTACAATAATCTAATATGAGGATGGTCATGTGTTCAGGACAGGACTCTTATCACACATGTGAAGTTTGGGGCAGATCGGACATTGTATGCCTGAGTTACTGCAGGCTGTCTGTGGTTGCCTAGCAACATCGGAACTGCATCATTTACACAGAAGTTATCTGATGATGCATATTTCACCCAGAGGCTGAAATTGGATTTGCACATCTACATTTTTGTCAGGCCGCCGAGGTCACATCCTTCGACGAAAACTCTAGATCTTCGCAATTTAACGTCGCAAAGGCCTTAAGATTAGACTGACAAAATATTATGTGGATCTGATTTATTCTCTAGGAGGAGTTCGTTAAAGTACAACATCAGGAAATTACGAAAAATGCACAAAATCTAGGAGGAAGTTCAAAATAGCTCACTTCCTGTTGTGTTTAGGGCTATGCTCCAAGAGACTTTTTTGTAGGTATTGGGTCATTACATGTATGTACCAAATTTCATACCTGTACGTGAAACGTAGAGCCGGGGCAAAATTTGGGGGCAATAATTTACCGAATTTGCCCCACCCAATTTTGAAAACCACATCACACGTAAATTTTCACCACTTCTGAAGCGTGTGCAAAGTTTCATGAGTTTTCGAGCATGTTTAGGCCCTCAAAAATGCAATTAATTTAGGAGAAGAAGAAGAAGAAGCGGAATAATAATAAACGGAGCAAAAACAATAGGGTCCTCTCACCATCGGTGCTCGGGCCCTAATTATCTTGAGCTTGTGTTCACCACAGACCTTTTTCAGGCATTTAAGCAAAAACCCATTAAAAAAACCCATTGACTTCAGAACTCTGGAACTGGAAGTGCTAAAATGCAAGGTTTTGGCCTGGAGAAAATGTAATTCCTGGAGGACTCTATATTCTGGTTCATAATGTGTTGCAGCCTTTTGTGATAATCATGTGTCACTTCTGATCATTTATCATGTTCATCAGGGACAGCAGAGATGAAGTCCTGGAGCATGGTGAGTTATTTCAAACAGCCTCTTGTTGTTTTAGTGTGTGTCAGTGTAGTTGTTTGAATGCTGTCTGACATGTTATGTTGCATGTCTTCTAGAGCTCATGATTGCGGACAGACATCAGAAGCGTGAGATCAGACAACTGGAGCAGGAACTTCCTCGCTGGCAGGTGTTAGTGGACAGCATCACAGGTCAGATTTGTGACGTTGTTTTCAATATGGTTATGAGATGAATGGTGATCACTGAAGTAATTGTGTAATGTATTTATTTCAGGCATGAATTCACCAGACTTTGATAATCAGACGCTGGCAGCTTTACGTGGACGAATGGTCAGATATCTGATGAGATCTAGAGAGGTCAGTGAACATTTGCTAAACACAGGAATATTGTGCTTTGACATTATAAGTGTGTATGAATGGTAAACCTCTATTGTGCTTCTGTGATCCCTTCGGTATATGTCAAATCAGTGCATTGACTTGTACCTGAACTTTAAAGGAGACTCAAATCTCTTTTTAGTTGTGATTGTGTCTTCAACTAAAGACACTTACTAATTGCACAAGAAAGTTCTGAGTAATGTAAAGTAACTGCATAAGTTTAGGGTAAGTTCTGGTTTAGTATGTAGTGTTTACCAGTGTTGTAGTCGAGACCAGCTCACTCGAGTCCGAGTCGAGACCGAGACTATAGAGGGTCGAGTCCGAGTCGAGACAGAGACCAAAGAGAGTCGAGATTGAGACCAGAGAGGTTGGATAACCTAAGGTTGGACCTAAAGATATCTTCAAGAATATGTAAAATATTTGGTGGTAACAATAAATTTGGCACCATACTCAAAAAGTAAATCAAATATACTATGGAATCATGTACACTGTAATGGTTAAAAGGCCACATAGTAGGTGGTGTAAAGGTAATTTTATTACAATTATGACTTCCAATTATTACAATGAGTAAGTGCTCTTACACATAACATTACTGCACACGAGTCCATGACAAGACCGAGACCATTAAAATATGTTCTCGAGTCCGAGTCTCGAGTACACAACACTGGTGTTTACACTGGTATTGTGATTACTATAGTAAAGTACATGGCATGTAAATGCAGAACAGGACTGTAAAATAAAGTGCTACCAAAATATCTTCTATTCTATCTATTGCTGTACAAGCTTTTCTAAGAACTAACTTGTGCTTTATCTATTGTTTTAAAAACCATTATCAAACTTTTTTTTGGTCAAATGCTTCACTTGAAATGTGTTTTTGTGCTATCTTTGTATAAGTGCTTTGATATTTAGTCATCTAATGCAGTGTGAGGTGTTTTTAAAGGAACCGTTCACCCACAAACGACCAGTAACAAACTCTATTGACACGTTTCAGATCACACTGGGTCGTGCTACTAAAGACAAGCAGATAGACGTGGATCTGTCTTTGGAGGGACCTGCATGGAAGATCTCCAGAAAACAGGGTTAGACAATTCAACATCATTATTCATGACATTCATGATTGAACTGCACAGTGCTTTCATTTGTCTGTGTGTGTTCAGTCCTGCTCCTGGATGCTAAATATAGCTTTGCACCACTAAACTTATACAACTTATTCACTAAACTATTACAACAACACTTTTGTTACTTTTCTTAAAAGAGAGGGAATTATGTGATTGAGTGACTTAATGGCCTCGTTTACACTGCAGGTCTTGATGCCCAATTCTGATTTGTTGCCTATATCCAATTTTTTTGACCGTCTGTTTACACGTTCTTTCAATTGTGACCCATATCCGATTCATGTTTTTACACTTGACATAGGCCTACTATCTGAATCGCGCATGCTTAAAGGGGGTTCTTGCACAGATGGACGAACGCAAAATATGCTTGATGCTAGCTTTGTGATATATGCGAAGTTCACCAAACATCAGCATGATTTTGAGGCGGAGGAGGACGAAAAGGGCCATCATTGCAGCCTGCGCATATGCTTCAGTTATTGTGTGCGAGATTTCAGGACTGGTGGGAACATACAACACAATCTCATGAAAGTGCGTATCTATACCAGTAATTTTATTTCTCGTGCCATTTATACACCAAAAATAGTTTTTGCGTGCATGATACACACTGTAAACCCCTTGGGTAGGATTAGGGGTGTGGAGTGTGTGCGTATTACACGCCATAAAGTGCATATCATATGCACGCAAAAACTATTGTGTCAACGTGTGTCCACATTCCTCTCCTACGACGACACAACGTTTCGTCGGGCCATCCGTCCCTTTGCAGATGTTGCTCTCGTCATTAAACCGCGGAGACTAGCCTAATGCCTCAGAAAATCCGATCTGCCTGTTTACATGAGTCGCATTGCCACATATCTGATTTATTTCCACATATGAATAAGGCCTAGCCTGGGAAAACCCAGACAACTTCCGGCAAATTTAGATTTGCTCTGAAAGTTAGTCTGGCAAAGAGCTCATTCAAGCCCATTTCCAATCCGTCGAAATCGAGGCACCAATCAGAAACGTTGGGGCGGGCTTTACACGATGATGACAGCGCTGGGATTTTGAAGCAGATTTTGTAGCCTACATTACAAAGATGGATGCCGCCGTCGAACATCACTCGTTCCAATCAGCTATCGCGTCTGTTTTAAGCGATTTGAACGTTTCCTTTTAGTTAAAAACCGAGCAAAGAACAACACTCGGAGATGTTTCTCCGCCGCTCTGCATACGTCATCTCCTTCATCGCTCTGATTGGGTTTAGCTCTATCCGCGACGTCCGTTGGTGACGCCCCACTGGAAATGATTTGTCTATGACGCTTTGCCAGACCATAACTCGGTTACAACTGAGAATGATCTGGTTTTAACCAGGCTAGATGAGACCTGAAACCGATCTCGAAATATCCGAAGGCATGCGTTTTTTTTCCTGTTTACACTGTCATAGAACACATCTGATCTGTGTCACATATGAGCAAAAAATCGGAATTGGGTCACATTTCACAGACAGTGTAAACGAGGCCAATTACTACTTTTGCAGCGCACATTAAACTGCACTTTCTTCAAGCGTCCATGTGTCACATTCCACTGGCTATCCATTAGCATCCCGTTTAGGTTTACTGCTGTTATGGCAAATATTTCTATTCACTGTTATCCTTGTAAAACATCAGCCATGTCTGTTAAGCGTGCGAACCAGAAATGTTCAATTTAGTCCATGCTTTCCATAGCCTTTTCCTTTGTCATGTCAGCTGTGAGTTTACATTGAAGCACATAATCATTTCAGCCAGTGTTTAATGTCACAGATGATTCCTGTCTTTTTAAACATTTTGATGCTTTGAATTATCACCTGGACTTTTGTGTGGCATTGAGTTATGTGAACACTATAATAAATGAATTAATGTTTGTTTTCTAACACCAGGGATCATTAAACTGAAAAACAATGGAGATTTCTTCATCGCTAATGAAGGGCGGAGACCCATTTACATTGATGGACGACCAGTTTTATCTGGAAACAAGTGGAAACTCAATAACAACTCTGTGATGGAGGTATGGAGGGGCACACTTGCATTTAAATCACAAAATTACAGCTGTTAAAATGTTAAAGGGGTCATATAATGCCATTTTTGTACAAGCTAATATGATTCTTTAGGGTCTAAATTAAAAGTTTGTAATATACTTTAATTAAAAATTCTCATTAGTATTGCAAGAAAACACTTATTTTACCTGGTCAAAAACAGCTCTGTTTTCAGCACGCCGTTTCAGTGTATATGACTTTAAATGATCATGAGCTTTGCTCACCCCGCCTCTCTGTTCTATGCGTCACCAGAGCCGGCTCTGGCGTACACCGTTTGTAACACAATAACACAATAACCATAACGCGTTGTTCTGTATAAACGTGGGATTATGCATTATATTGAGAACGTCATACATAGAAAACATGCCGTAATGTACCCTGAGTGTAAACCTTAGACGCATTCATTGTGAAGCGTGTAGCTAGCGATTTACAAGGATTAATATAAATAGTAATATAAAGTTTAATAAAACGTTACACTCACTTCAGTTGTTCTGGAGATTCAGCAGGAACACGAATATCTGGTACCGATCCTTTCTTCATGAGCAGCTTCTTAGCAAATCCAGCTTTATACTGACCCTCGTTTATAAAGCAGTCTGGTGTGTGAAATGATTCGCGCAAAACTGAGAGCATTGACGTTGCTCGTGGGGAATATTCCCTTCGAAAACAAACTCAGCCACTGCGTCTTCAGCGGTTCGGATTTAGGAACATTAAAATGACTGTGTTCGTTATTACACCCAAGAACAGAACACCACAATCGCTTAGACGCCATTCTGCTCATAGACAGTGCTCCAGCATATCAACAATGAGCGCGCCGGTCCGCACAGACTATGATTGACAGCTAGCGAGGGCGGGTCTGTGTTGAAACGCGGCTGTCGCGGCTGTCAATCAACAATCGTGGGAGGGGCGTCCGTTTTATTTACGTCACAAAAACGAACGGCTCAATTTTAGACAGGGGAAAACATATAAGGAGATTAAAACAAAACCACTGGATGGATTTTTATCATTATATGATGGTTGTGTGAACAGACACTGCCAACACACATTTCAGTACAATCAACTTGTAAAAGTGCATGTACCATTATATGACCCCTTTAAGAAAAACATAAACATGGCGGTGCTCATTATAACTTACTGGTCAACTAACATGATTATTACATTTCAAACACAAAATACATTTACTAATGCATATTTGAGAATATGAATATCAGGTATCTAGTCATATGTTGAATAATTAGAAAAAACTGAAATAAAAATGATACATACACACATCCTCATGCAAATAATGCTTTACAACTTTCATTAGATTAGGGATAGTTCAATTTATATCATTATAATTTTATTTTTTGAGAGACCTTTTAATTTTTGTTAATATTATGCGATGAAATGACGAATGGTGCAGAATCATGGGGGGGAAAGCAATATTATGTTGATTTTGCCTTGTTTTCAGCAATCGTGAAAAACTAGAGGGATTGATAGCTCTTTGTCAATAAAAACAGAATGTCATATAGTTTTTGTAGCTGGTTAACAAGATGTGTATATTTTTGAGGATCTAAATGTTGAAATGACATTAATGAATGAATATGATTGACTCTAAAAATGTTGCCATTAAAATAAAATAAAAGTATTATCATCTTATCTGATACTGTTATTGCATAATAAACATGCTCAATAAAGCACATCTGTTTGTTTGTCTGTCCAGATTGCAGGTCTCCGCTTTGTGTTCCTGATCAATCAGGAGTTGATCTCTCTCATTAAAGCTGAAGCTGCCAAGATGAACCAGCCGTGATGCTGAACGCACCTGTCAAACACCATTCAGTCCTATCTTTATCTCTGCGTAGAGTCCTAACAGAAGACCTTCAGCACAAGCTCATTTGGGCCCTGCGTAACAGCCGAGCCTGGATCTGGAGTTCAGATCGGAGGAAAATCATTTGGAGATTTTATATGCCTATTATTCAAGGCACATTTGAACTGAAAGAACTGACTGAGAACATTGTCCGTGTGTGTGTGTGTGTGTGTGTGTGTGTGTGTGTGTGTGTGTGTGTGTGTGTGTGTGTGTGTGTGTGTGTGTGTGTGTGTGTGTGTGTGAGAGAGATAGATAGATAGATAGAATTGCTGTTATTTGTATAAGTGAACCTTTTTCAATTCAGTGTTTTGACCTGTACATTTTTGTTTGTTTATAATTAAAAACTCAGTAGCCTTGTATTGTCTAATCAAAGACGGTATGCTAATATTCTGCCAAGACAGAACTAGTGTAAATATATTCATGAAGATCGATTAAAACAGAAAAGTGTTTTAATGATGCATCTGGTAATATCTTTGTTATTGACTTTGTGAACTGCTTCCCTTTGGACCTTGACTTGAACTGTTGCAAGCCCAGAGTGGACACAAGTAACGTCCAGTACATAAAAGAACATTTCAAATAAAGGTTCAGATCTAATTATAAATGCACAATTAGTAAATACACAACAGGTCAAACATGTGGAATAATTCTGTTTTTTAACATGTTTGAAAGAAGTATACCTGTGACGCAAAGCTGAATTTTCAGCATCATTACTCTAGTCTTCAGTGCAATCCTTCAGAAATCATTCTAATATGATGTAAAGACAGTTGTCGGCATTGATAATAATACGAAATTTGTCTTGATCAGCAATTTCTGAAGGATCATGTGACACTGAAGACTGGAGTAATGATGCTGAAAATTCGGCTTTGATCACAGGAATAAATTACATTTTACAATATATTTGCATAAAAACGTTTCAAATTCTAATAATATTTCACATTATTTATTGCTATTTTTTATTAAATAAATGCAGTCTTGGTGACCTTGAGACTTCTTTAAAAAACAAGAAAATCCTATTAAGTTTGTGAATTGCTTTTGTCTCTGACTGTACTCAAAGGCAATTTGACAATGCCGTGGTATTAAAGGGATAGTTCACTTTGAAATTAATTGTTGGTATGTTTTAGCTTACCTCAAGGGCATCCAAGATGTAGGTGTCTTTGTTTCCGCAGTAGTTTCAATTTTGATATTTTTAGTTCAAACCGTTCTTGTCTGTCAGTCATATAATGCAGGTCTATGGTCACCACCTCAAAGAGCATGCACAGAGAAATCAAGTTAAACATGATTTAATGACTCGTAAATGTAAGTACACATTGATGGCCTAAGACACGAAACGAGTGTGTGAGAAAATTAACAGTATTTATATAGTTTTTACCTCTTGTAACCAAGGCCGTAACCAGGGTTTGAAAATTAGAGAGGTCCGGGGTGAGGTGTAAAGAATTGTGCTATAATAATGGTGAGGCCATTGGACCTACATTTCAAGCTGCGACCCTTTTTTTCTCAAAGGAATTTGACACATACAGGGGTTAAATTGGTATTTATTATGTTATTGCTCTCACTAGGGGGGTCCGGGGGTATGCCCCCCCGTAAATATTTTTTGAAAAATAAACCATTAAATGGCACTTTCTGGAGAGTTTTGTGCAAAGAAATATAGAAAAATAGTAGGTCTAACAAGTCTTATATTTCTGTAATTCACACAGATCAAACACAAATATGCTGACTGAATAGATTGCTAGTTGAGAAACACTGCTTTAATTAATGTTTTTATGATGACTTTGTGAAAGGTTAACTAAACAGCATGAGCCGTCTTCCTGCTGGCCAGTAAGTTATTTGGCAAATTTCATTCTGTAACATACAGATCTATTATGCTATTGTTTTTGATAGTGTTATTTCTTACAGATAATCACGATGATCATTGCGTTTGTCTTACCGAATGTGGTAGCTTTATGCCGAGCGTCACGTGACCAAGCCGGAAAACAGATCACATCGCTTCCGATTCAGGTCTTTTGTATGTGCTTCATGAAATTTTTTGCAGTTTAACTCAAGATAACTTAAAAGGAGCAAGCAAAAATGAGCATAACCAATGTCCCTCGCATGTGCAGATTGATATTTAAAAGTTTTTTAATTTTTCTTCTTCACACTAACGTTTAGATATTTAAATAGCATAAAACACCAATAACAAAGTGAACTTAGTAGGTTAGCTGATTACCTTAAAAATCCATAGATATCGTTAGTTCTTACGGCCGTTAACACTTTCACTGACAAATCCGAAATAAGTTCGAAGCTTGTGTTTTGGAAATAAGGATAATATATCACTAACCCTAACATGCAACTTTCCACTTGAATAACTTCCTAACGTGTCACATTAAATCAGAAAAACAGGTCCAGAAGACTAGCTACTGCCACCTTTCCATTAGGTGGATCTGGCAACACTTGATCTGGCACCCGCGCTCTCACTCACGCGCGCTCTCAAGCCCCGTTCACTTGCGCTAGCTTCTCGCAGCAACATGAATTGCAACCACTCATATGAGGCGGTTTAAACGGCTAATTAATCATTCAGAGAGCTTGACATGTTATTTTTGAATGTAAAAAAATGACCGAGGTCCGGACCTCGGTGACCTCATAGCTGGCTACGGCCATGCTTGTAACGCACAGACCGAAGCGCCCACGCCCTCAGATCACTTGGACGTGGCTGTGTTTACAAGAGGTAAAAACGATATAAATACTTTTCGTTTTCTCACACAAACCGCTCGTTTCGTGTCTTAGGCCATCAATGTGTACTTACATTTACGAGTCATTAAATCATGTTTAATTTGGACTTCTCTGTGCATGCTCTTTGAGGTGGTGACCATAGACCTGCATTATATGACTGACAGACAAGAACGGTTTGACCTAAAAATATCAAAATTGAAACTACTGCGGAAACAAAGACACCTACATCTTGGATGCCCTTGAGGTAAGCTAAAACATATCCAAAAATGTATTTCAAAGTGATTAAGATGCATAACGATTGTCAATGAACTAGAGGGAATTATAATGTTTGAACATTCCCCTGTGGAATGTTCTAGAAAATGACATGCTTACTGTGTGATTCTATAATTAGCTAAATCAATTGCTGCGTGTTCGTATAATTGCAAAAAGTACACACACATCTGATATATAGTTATTATACCAATGTTTTTTGATGGTGTAATGTAGCAAATGTGCAAAATAGCATAGTTGATCTATTTAACCAGCAAGAATGTCCTACTTCACCAGTCAAAGCAAATTTGTTCAAACAAACCCGTTTAGTGTTGGTACTTGTTAATAATAAACTGTGGAAACATAAGAGAACAAACACAAACAGTGCTCGTGCCCGTGATGATGTAGCCGGAGGCTGCGGCCACGTCACACTCGTGCGTCATGATCTGAGTTTCCAGCCGTCCAGTGAAGGATCAGTAGCTGGAGATCGCGAGCTCATGGCGTGTTCTGCTTCTCTGGGAACTGCAGTGTAATTACAGTAAGACTACGCTTTCCTCGTTATTCATAAATAATCGGAAAACCGTCGGTAGTTGGAATTCAAAGCAACACTGTGTGTGTGTTTATTTGGTTAAGTTGGGACCGTGATGGGCTGAATCGTAATTTAGCCCGGTTGAGTTTGTTTTTGTGTGGCATTACATTACATATGACTGTTTTTTAGCCTACTTTATACAAAATGTTTTTTAGCTTACTGTATATAAATCTTTCAAGTAATTGCTTTTTGTTAAAACATGTGTATGGATGCATATTATGACTGATAGCCTAAGTTGAAAATAGTTCCATTTTAAAACGAGTTCCAAAAAAGTTTTTTTCTTTTTTGGAAAGTGTTTCATTGTTTTGTTTTGTTTTAATTGGCAACCTATTTTTTTAATATGTACCTCAGTTGGAGCTTATCATTAGATATGAATAATGTTGCATTTATTTATCATTTAACCCATTCATACTCTTGTGTGTAAAGCATGTTTGACTGATAGCAAACAGGGTTTGAAATTAACTTTTTCACTCACCGGCCAGTTCAAAACTTCTGAATTAAGTTACCGGCCATTCAGAACTTCTACTAGCCAAAAATAAATAAATAAACCAGATAAACTCACAGCTTATATATAGGCTATTATAAAATTTGTATTTGGTACATTCATTTCTTATTCATCAGTACAAAGAACATAAAAAAAAATTAGGATGTAGGAAAATAACAATGTCTTTTCTTTTTACCAAATTCTTTTTAGGCTACTTTCGCTATTGCTGCAATGCAAATGATCAAGCGCACCAACGTGCATGTTCAATTAAAGGCAGGGTAGGCAGTTTGTTTCTAAAACACTTTTCCCCAAATTTGTTTAAACTGTCTTTATATGCCATTACATATCTAAAATGTAAGTACTCTGAAAAGGAGAGTATAAAAAACGAGTGTCTGTAGTCCTCTCAGGCCCCGTCCACACTACTGCGTTTTGGTTTAGAAACGGATAATTAAAAAACGAATACGATCTCCGTCCACACCAGCGTTTTAGCTGCGTATTAGAATTGATCTCCGTCCACATTAAAACGACTGAAAACGCGGATCACGTGACCATTCACCAACACTGGGCATGCGTGTGCCGGTGTAAACACAACTTCATTGATAAAATTATCCCACCATGCTCTGGGTTAACCCCAAACCGACGCTCCATGTACGGTCAACGCCGCCGCTGCACACGGGAATTGTCACAGATCGCTCGAATAATAGCTTGACTCCGGCGCATGTAGGCAGTTATAGCGCTGTAAAATGCAGAATTTACTTGTACAACAGCTGCTAGCAAAGATATACGCCATGACTGATGACACCCAATCATAGAGCCGAGTGTGAGCCTCTACTTCGTCATCGTTTCTAAAGTCCTCCGTTTTGACCCGTCTACACTAAAACGCCCTCCGGAGATTCAAAACAAAAAACGGATCGGCAGCGTTTCTAAACTTCTCCGTTTTTGCCGTTTTAGTGTGGACGGGAGGTGCAAACGTAGCAAAAGGTTTCCGTTTTTAAACGAAAACGCAGTAGTGTGGACGGGGCCTCAGGGCTGCAATAAACACAGCTACTCTTTCCATTCGGAACGAATGCAGTGATTGGCTGGGCGACTGTCACTCTCCCTCGCTACCAACCACCCCTGCTGCTACAGGAGCCGCCCACATGCGCGCACCCGGTTGTCTCGCTCATTTCGAAAGAGGAGAGGCACGTACCAGCCGGAAGCTAGGAAGAATCACAATTATGGCAGAGAAAGAGCAGTCAAAATTCCCAGTACCACCTGTACCATACAGTCAGCGCAGGCAAAAAAAAAAAGGTGATGTCACTCCATGCACTGCGCTCCTCTCCTCTCGGGACTGGTAAACGCGTCCTCCAGCTGAGCGGTCGGCATCACGCGGTCATGTGTTTTGGGGGCGTGGCTTTGGTGGGAGTACTTTCAAAATCCAGCAGTTTTCTGCTAGTTTCTCAAACTTACCTACCCTGCCTTTAAGCCAGATATTGCAGATACTCCGCAATACTGTATTTAATATATCATGATGCATGATCTGCGCAGATTTGGTAACACGTACCGGTACTTCCACAGCAAAGTGAGTAAACATAATAAATAGTGATTTGACCACGTTACCTGCAGTTGTCAGGTGTTAACTACACCCGTTACACGGTGTTAACATGCCTGTTAAATTCCTAAATGAGGAGATTGAACTTTCGAAGCACCTAGAACGTTATTTAAAGCCGTGCTTAGTGTAAGTAACCTATGTAAGTAAACCGATTTAAATCATATCCCACTACTAAATGTAATGACAAGTGTGAGGACGTGTTGGACCCGTCCCACAGGTCAAGAAAGATTCACTCTTGCTTACAATAACATTTATAAGAATTCAGTAAACATTTGTTTGGATGTCTAATTTCTTGTGGGGAAACCAACTAACAAAGTTCTGTTATGAAACTCTAGATGGCACAGTCAATCTCAATCTGCTTGCAATCACATCATTCTCTATAGGGCACAGCTGATTGGTTCCTGCTGTATCAGCAGCCAATGAGCTCACTGCTCAACATTTAAATACCTGGTCAGCATTTGCTGTGGAAGTTGCAGTGTGGTTTCAGAAACCCCTCCCCTTCCCCAGCTCCACCTGTGTAGATCTGCTACGGGTCATTCATGTTCTCTATATTGTAGAGCATCAGCATGTCTTGCTCACTTACAGCAGTGTGTCGTGTGTGTGTATTGGCAGTAGCAAGTTCCTGTTGTTGCTCTGCAGCAGCAGCATAGCAGATCTAGGCTATTCCGCCACGACTAAACATATCAATATGGTCATATCCATTACCGTGCCAAACACTCAGAGAGTTATGACAAAACTAATTGAAGGGGAAAGGCTTTATTCAGCACAGCACACACTCCAGTCACAGAAATGTATCAAACCATCCCTGGACACAATTAATTACAGTATTACATTATTTTTATCCAGTGTGTATAATAGCCTAATGTTAAAGTTGGCTTTAATATCGATTCATGTAAGTTAGTACATCAAATAAATTTGTTTTTGGCCCTTTATGTGGTCTATATAAGGAAAAGGCTGAGAAGCCAAGATTCCTCACTGCTGGGTCCTCCTGACATGTTATCTGTGCACAAGAACGGCATGTTCCAAAACAAGTGTAAAATCTGTTATGACGCAATCATGTCAGTCCAAACATGGCTGCAAAAGCTTCTCGTTTCAAACCTTTCATTTCATTAGCGCATAGCTGTTTGGTGGCTTGTTTAAAACGAGGCTCTAGATTGATAGTTTTATTTCCAAGAGATTTTCCCTCTGTCAGGAGTCTTTCTGCTTAACCCTGCTGCCTCTTGTCTTATCATGTGCAAATATGTTTATAGTGGGTCATAAACCGTTTTAAAACCAGTAGCCCATGTGGCGTATGCATCGCTGATATCAAGCTAATGGACTGATATGTGATGTTGGAGTAAATTAATGTTGCAATGTTTGAAAATGGGTTGTAAATCTTTTTCAGGTGCAGTGAGACATTCAGAGCTTTAAGCAACTAGATCTTGAATTCTCTTTTCATTGGTCATTTTAGGACAAGTGTTTTTTTTTTTTTTTTGGTCATAACCCAGCAGGCTTACATGTGGTTGCAGTGATAAGACAAAAGTTAAGTTTTGATGAGTCATGATGTTTAGTCTGTAAATATCCGTGCAGTATGCTTTTAAACTCACCCAATATTTAATATTGCTGGTAAACCGAAAGGTCAATTTAGGAAGTAATGGCTCTATTGACCCCTATTCTTCCCAATAAGGGTCAATAACCCATTGAACCACATATAAAATGGCAGTAAAAGTCTCACAAGATTGATACATTATTTCTATAGAGCTCTTGATTGGTAATTACAATCATATTAAGCCACCCGTTCTTTGGCATTCATTGTCTAGGATTTTAATTTCGATTTAAGCAATTTTATATTGAATTATTCAATTATGCAATTATAAAAGTCTCAATGGCCCCTTACGCTGTAAGACCTTTATTTTGACACATTAGATGTTTTGCCCCATCTGCTTACAGAACTGACTGTGTTTGTTTGCATAATTGGATGTCTTTGACCCATTTCGTGTCTTGCACTCTCTACTAGTAGACTTTAGTCAGGGTAGATGCCATACTGAATATTACATGGATGAAAACGAGTGTGTGAGGGACACAGACTTTACAATGGCATGCTCTGCATAAAGGTCCTGATCACATTTTCAAAACTCTCAACTTTCAAAACTGTTTTATGGAGTTTTTGTCTACTGAAAATATATTTCATTAGTTGAATATCTGATACAAAAATTTTTTAAATATGTGTGCAGCCATCCTTCCTGCCTTCAAAAATTGATCAGATGAAGGTATCTCAGGGGATGGGATGTGACACGATGATTGAGTTTGGATGTGCCTTGTTGCCTTCATGCCTCCTGTGGAGCTTTCAGACACCACCATGGTGCTATTAGCCAAGTTAAATCAATTGTAATGCTCTTGCACTGTCAAACCTCTGCAACTGATCCAGAACGCTGCAGCTAGAGTGATCTTTTACGAGCCGAAGAGACGCACATCACATCTCTCTTCGTAAACTTGCACTGGTTGCCAATTGCTGCTCACATCAAATTCAAGGCACTGATGTTTGCCTACAGAACAACCACTGGCTCTGCTCCCTTTTACCTAAACTCATTTCTCCAGACTTATGTGCCCTCCAGAAGCTTGCGTTCTGCAAGTGAACGTCGACTCGTGGTGCCATCATCTCAAAAAGGCATAAAATCACTTTCACAGACCTTCACCTGGACCGTTCCCTGCTGGGGGAATGACCTGCCTAACTCAGTCCGAGCTGATGAGTCTGTAGCCATTTTCAAGAAACTGCTGAAGACGCATCTTTTTCGGCAACAATACCAACACTTTATTTTTCTTTTCTATTCTATATCTTTTTTCTTTTCTTTTTAAATGCATGTGGACTGCGTTAGACTAAACTGGGAAGGGTCACAGGACTTGCATATTGTTGTTTAATTGCTTCTATTGCTCTCACTCTTTGGATAAAAGCGTCTGCTAAATGATTAAATGTAATGTAAATGTAGGTGTTACATCAGGGAGATATCCAAAATGTGTAACGTGTTGCAGGGCTCTTCAGGACAGGCTTAATTATCACTGACGTAGAGCGGTGGTTTTCAGTCCTGGTCCTGGCTTCCCAATGCTCTACACATTCCTTATGTAACACACCAGGGGCCGAACTCACAAAACATTTTATCTTACCACTAAGAGTTCTCCTAAATAGCAGTAAACGTTCTTAGGTAAGAGTTTTCTCTTAAAACCTATACACAAAGCTGCTGAGACCAACTTTTACTAAGGAATAAAGAGAAGTCTTAAGGTAAGAGAAAGGGTGGGGTTGATCAGGGGTGTGTAAACGACACAATTTTCATTTTTGGGTGTGCTATCCCTTTAAGTACATTCTATGTCAAATACATTTCAATCAATATTTTTTTTGCGTGTCAATCAGCACCATTTTTGAAGTGCACGTGTATAAATGCACAAGGGAAAGTGAAAAAGTAAAAGCTCCTTCAATCCATTGAGCCTTTTACTGTGGATTCATCATAACCGATAAACCAGAGGTTTTAAACTGTGTCATTGTACTTTGACAGCTTGCTGTTATTCTTTCTCTCTTTTCCCAGAAAGTGCAATGCAGCACCTAAAGCATTGCCAAGGTCTTGCTTCGCTCTTCCTTATCAGGAGTCAAAGGTAATTATGCCCTTTCATATAAACCTTTGTTCCTTATCATTTATATCAAGGCCAGATTCTCTTTCTTTCTCAGAAAGTAGGAGACTTAAGAATAATGATGTTTGTTATTATGAAATGGTTGCATAAACTTCTCTTAACTCTCAGTTCCAGGGTTTCAAAGAGCATTATCCCATCATTGTCTGTGTGGGATGCGCACCTTTCTTCCCGCTGGAGGAGCACTGGTGGCCATGGAAGGCAGACATACTTCAGTGACAGGGTGCCGAAGTTTCGATTTGCTCTGGCGGGGCTGCTGGCGGGTACCGGAGCTGTTTTAGCCTACAGGCTCCACCAAGGCAAGGTGAGACATGTTCCCCATTTCAAAAAATTAAAAATCTCTAAAGATATAACAAGGGGAAAGATTTCAAAGAAGGATATCTACAGCAGCTGACTGATGCATATATAAATCTACAAAACAGCATGTCACACAATGAATGAAAACAAGTTATAAACCTTTGCACTCAGGGTGGGTCAAGTTGTCAAAAATGAACAAAATAGGTGACGGGAAGGTAGGGCTGGGCGATAAAACGATAACGATAATTATCGCGATATAATTTTTCTCGATAAAACGGTATCAAGAGGTCGATAAATGTTCGATAATGTGTATGCGCCAAAAGCGGACCGAAACTCATTTGAACCGCGCGCCTCACGGACTGTTTATCCGCTCGGCTCAAAGTCCAAACGGCAGCGCGAGCTCACTAGAGCAGACGCGTTTACTCTGATCGTCTGGCTCACGAGATCCAGTGAGAAGCCCTTAAGTTCAGCGAAGAACACAAATGTCCAGTTTAAATCAGTTTAAAGGCAGATGAAACACCGCTGACAAACAGGAGAAACTCTGTGCAGCGAAACAGTCAGAATCTGAATTGATACTGAATCAATTTAGCCTACCATGGAATTACTGTAACGTTAGCCTAGTAATATTAACTGCACCATGAAATGTGGGATATACATATTGAATTGTTTAATATTATTAATGTAGACAATGTATTAATTGACTAATGGCTAACTGACTAATTACAGTATTTGATAATGTATTTAACTGTTAGGCTACTGTTTTTCATACAAATACCATAGAAACCATAAAGTTACATTTTGCCATGATAGTGATGTGCTATAGGCTGTACCTGGCTTTATCTGTGGTTATCATGATAATCTAAATGCATGATACTGGATGACCAATGGTTAATTTTAATAAAAACTCAAACAGTCAGAATATTACATTTTACCAAATAAAAATGTGGTCCTTAAATAAAAAAAATAAAAACAAACAGATGTTACTGTTTTTGTTAATTAACAAATTTAACATAGTAGCATTAGCTTGAGTTAGGATGCAGATTTACTGTCAACTCACTGTCAAATATGCATTTCGAGACAAAACATGTAATTTGAATATTGCAGCCTGCACTGCAAACTGTGCTGAAGAAATATATTTATTTTCAGATATTTATTTTGTTAAGGAAAAATGACAAATGTTTGAATGTTCTACCTTAGATTTTTAAAACCAAACGCTCTGGTTTATACAACTTTCACTTTGGAGCAATAATCTGCCTTTAAACTTGAAAGAAATAAAGATTTGACATTTATCGTGATAATTATCGATATCGACTGATATAAAAAAAAATATCGTGATAAATTTTTTTGCCCATATCGCCCAGCCCTACGGGAAGGAATGCTTTGTGTGTTTCAAGCACGTTTGGATGGCAGAAATGGCGCTACTGTTGACCAAAGGCTTGCCACGTTTTCTCAAGTATAATTTAGGCAACTAATAAAATAAAATAAATCTAATTTATCTACTAAAGGTCTGTTATGGTAAGAAGTGTGTACAAATACAAAATCATTACTTATACCTGAGAATGAGGGAGAAGAAGAATCATGTTTTGCAAATATATCTTGTGGAACTTATATGTATGTTAAATATGTTACATGACATCAAGTGCACTTTTAAGTATACTAAAATAAAAAGGCATATCATATTCCCTTTAAAGATTGTGCGTAAATGAGGATGTCGAATTCAAACGCTGTCAATCATTACTAGAGTCTCAGATCAGAGAGTTTGACACATTTACTGTCTTTCCATCAGATCTCCCTGGGCTCATATCATGCAATCTGACAAGCATCAATTGTAAAGGAACAATTATAAAATAAAATTGCACATTGTTCCCTTGGCTTTAGTTGTCATTGAGTAATTGTTTGTTTGTTGTGTCTATTTTTGTTCAGGTTGAGTGGGCAGCTTCCTCAGCACAGTTACCAGTAACGCAGACTTCAGCTCTCTCTGTGTACACCCTAGAAGAAGTCACAAAGCATTGCTCCCTTGACAATGGCGTGTGGGTCACCTATAAAGGGGAAGTTTACGATATTACTGCATTTGTAGCCATGCACCCTGGTGGCGACAAAATACTTCTGGCTGCAGGTGGATCTCTGGAGCCTTACTGGGCGTTATATGCCGTTCACGAACAAGACCATGTTCTTGAAATCCTCTCAGAGTATAAAATTGGTGTTCTCAATACAGAGAGTATCAAGAAGCAAGAGAGCGCCAACACTTTAGACCCTTACTCTGCTGAGCCGACACGTCACCCTGCCCTTCAGATCAACAGTCTGAAACCCTTCAATGCCGAACCACCTTCGTCAATACTCTCTGATAACTACATCACCCCCTCAGTCATATTTTTTAAGCGAAATCATCTTCCAGTGCCCAGGATTGATCCTGAAACCTACAGGTTGGAGATCGAGGGTCTCCCTGGTGGAGTAGTATCCCTTACACTAAGTGAGCTGAAGTCTTGTTTTCCAAAACACACAATTACAGCAACGCTTCAGTGTGCTGGGAACCGTCGGTCTGAGATGAACACAGTCAAGCAAGTCAAAGGACTCAATTGGGGAATTGCCGCAATAAGCAATGCTACATGGTCAGGCGCACTCCTGCGGGATGTACTGTTGCACTATGGCTTTGGACCAGAGCTAGCAGCAAAGGCTCAACATGTTCAGTTCGAAGGGTTGGACAAGGATGTGACCGGTACAGCATATGGCGCATCTATTCCACTGAACAAAGCTGTGAGTGAAGAAGGTGACGTTCTTCTTGCATATGAGATGAATGGGCAAGACCTTCCGCCTGATCACGGCTATCCTGTCCGTGTGGTTGTACCTGGAATTGTTGGAGCCCGCAATGTCAAATGGTTGGGGAAAATTGTTGTGAGTGAAGAGGAGAGCAAGAGTCACTGGCAGCAGAATGATTACAAAGGCTTTTCTCCGGGTACCGACTGGGACACTGTGGACTTTAAATCAGCACCAGCCATACAGGAGCTCCCCATACAGTCAGCAATCACTCATCCAGCAGAGGGAACCTCAGTAGACGCCAGTGATGGGGAGGTGACTGTAAAAGGCTATGCATGGAGTGGAGGAGGAAGAGAGGTTGTCAGAGTAGACGTCTCAGTAGATGGTGGGAAGACATGGCATGTAGCCAAACTTCGCACTGGGGATAAGGGACAACAAGCTCCTCCTCCTCCACCTGGAAAAGCCTGGGCTTGGAAGCTATGGGAGATTGACGTCCCACTACCTCATAGGGCTCAGGAGCTGGAGATTATATGCAAAGCAGTGGACAGTAGTTACAACATGCAGCCAGATACTGTTGCCCCAATCTGGAACTTACGGGGAGTGCTTAGCAATGCATGGCATCGAGTAAAGGTAAAAGTGAATGAGGATTTGTAAGACTAAAAATGAAGTTTGTAGCTGTTTGAGCTTTTGGATAAATCCCAAAATCCCAAATTCCTGAATACTTGGGACAGACTGATTATACCAAACATGTTTATCATTTGTCATTCATTGCTATCACTAAATTGTGAAATCCTATATGACGTGAAGTTACACTGTTCATAATTGTGAACATCAACATAGGCTTATTTTTTTTATAAGTGCTTAACTGGATTTCATGTCCAGGCTCCTTGCCGAATGTCACTCTTGACCAAGAAGAACTGATTAATCTTCACCGTGTGAACGGCATCATGGATTCTTTGAAGTATCAGGCCATTTTGTCAAAGAATGTGAAGCCTTCAGTTCATACTTCAGCAGGGTTTCTCAACGCTGGCCCTCGAGATCTACTTCTCTGCAGAGTTTTGCTCCAACCCTAATCAAACACACCTGAACAAGGTCAAAGTCACGTGAAGGCAAGCCTGCAGGGTTAGCAAACAAAAGCGTAACGCCTGCTAGCGCTGGGAAGCAGATCAGAGGCCGTTTTTTTATGGATGTCAATAGAGGAGAGGCTTCTCCACGCAGAATTAGCCGCTTTTGTGAGGGAATAGCTTATTTAATAAATCGACAGCACATCGGATAATCTTCAACATTATCGCTCTTAAACTTTCGTTTTGGATTGATCTATTTTTAGAGTTCACATCGAAAAAAATGCTAATTTATAAGAGAAGTAACAGACAATTGCGCGACCAGGTATGATTCAGTTTGACACTTCTCATTCATTTCAATGGTATCCGCAAACAGTGATTGACTATTGCACAACTTGTTGTAATGTGATTGGCACACATGATCCAAGTTAGCCGTTGCACTTTTTCCAATGGTAGAGCCACTGGCCATCATATCTCCCAATAATAAGACCATCTCTGCTTGAAAGCTACCGGCATGCGAGTTTGATCAGGGTTGGAGCTAAACTCTCCAGGAAAGTGGATCTCGAGGGACAGAGTTGGGAATGCCTGTTCTAGAGTTTGATGACCATTGGACTAAATCTACCTAGGCTTGGTTTAAACTTTAGGGATCTGATCTTAAGTGCTGGCCCAGTCTCCAGACTTAAATCCCATCTTTGGTAAATTTGAAGAAAGCAGCGGCAGCACGGGAAACCAAGAAATATCAGTGAACTGGAAGCTTTTGCACTAAAGCTATAAGCTAACTGTGGATAGATGTCAGGCTTGTAAGTACTTACAGTACAGGACAGGCAGCATTTATTGACGGTTATAAAAAGTGAAGAGTTTAAAATCCTTCTGGGGGTGGAATAATTTTGTTCATGGATATTAAAATTTGTTTTTTTGTTTTTCTTTTGAAGTGACAAACTTATTCTCAGAAACATGCAAATGAATATTAATAAACTTTATAAGACTATTTAATGATGCCTTGGTTGATGTTTTTTTGTTTGTATTATTTGTTCTCAAAACCAGAATTTCTTGCCGGTCAGGGGGTTAAATAATTTTCACTGCAACTATGTGTTTGGCATTTTTGCTTTATAGGGTTTTGGCACTGACAACCCCAGCTTTGCAAGCATATTTAAATGTAATTATGCTTCTTTATACCATCACAAACTAACTTTGTAAGAAGGTATTTAAAATATGTAACGTAAATTCATGATCAATAATCTTGACATTGCTAACTAAAGCACTTTTAAATTTTAGACAAAAGGAAAAATAAAATGATTATGCTAGAATAAGGTTAGCAGTGCTGTAATAAATGCAATAAAATTACATTTTACAGTTCCACTTTTTAAAATGACATTTGAATGTTGATATATATTTTTTAACCTTTTAATAAGTGGTAGTTATTTTAGTGTAATAGGTGTTGATGTTGGTGGATATTGGTTGGTTGGATATTGTAAAAGTAATCTTTAATACAATTTGTAATGTAAATCTAATTGATATTTTACGTGAATCACTATTTTGAAGTAAATACTCAATGGTCTTAAATTATATAAAGCAAATTTCAAAATATAGTATACTTCATGTCAAACGTTTAAGGGAGCAAGTAATCAGTATAAGTTTTTTTTTTTTTTTTTTAAATGGGTAGGTTTGATATTTAGTGAATAAAATAAAAGCAAACAAGGTTGTTGGATAAAAACGTTCTTGTTGCTTTCAGGAAAAGACAGTGTGAAAATAAATATTACCATACCTGAAATGAATATAAATTTGTGTGTGTGTGTGTGTGTGGATTCAGTAAAAGCATACACTACTCATCCCTTCAAATGGTCAATTTATTGCAGAAGTTGGTAAGGTCAGTGCATAATTTTATTTTATTTATACACTTTTTTTGGATGATCCATAAAATATTCCTTGCATCAAATTCGTGGTTAACATGATGTAAAGAACAAATATTTACAGCACGTTTTCTACACTGCAATAGACAAACTGAATGCTCACTTGAAATGTGTCATCTTAATACTCCTCACCTTCCTCTTCTCCTTCTCCCTCGACTGAATCTACACCCACCTCCTCATAATCTTTCTCCAGAGCTGCCATGTCTTCTCTAGCCTCAGAGAACTCGCCCTCCTCCATTCCTTCACCTACGTACCAGTGCACAAAGGCACGCTTAGCGTACATCAGATCGAACTTATGATCAAGCCTGGCCCAAGCCTCGGCGATGGCAGTGGTGTTGCTCAGCATGCACACGGCTCGCTGCACCTTCGCCAAATCACCACCGGGGACAACAGTGGGAGGCTGGTAGTTGATGCCAACCTTGAAACCAGTTGGACACCAGTCCACAAACTGGATGCTGCGCTTGGTCTTAATGGTGGCAATTGCAGCATTTACATCTTTAGGCACAACATCGCCGCGGTACAACAGGCAGCAGGCCATGTACTTCCCGTGACGTGGGTCGCATTTGACCATCTGATTGGCTGGTTCAAAGCAAGCGTTAGTGATCTCAGCCACTGAGAGCTGCTCATGGTAAGCTTTCTCAGCAGAGATCACAGGAGCGTAAGTTGCCAAAGGAAAATGGATACGTGGATACGGCACCAAGTTGGTTTGAAACTCTGTAAGATCAACATTTAGGGCGCCGTCGAATCGGAGAGAGGCAGTAATGGATGACACAATCTGGCTGATCAGCCTATTAAGGTTGGTGTAAGTAGGACGCTCGATATCAAGGTTTCTACGGCAGATGTCATAGATGGCCTCGTTGTCGACCATGAAAGCACAGTCTGAGTGCTCGAGGGTGGTGTGTGTAGTGAGAATGGAGTTGTAGGGCTCCACCACAGCAGTGGAGACCTGTGGAGCTGGATAGATGGAGAACTCAAGCTTGGATTTCTTTCCATAATCGACAGAAAGACGCTCCATCAGCAAAGAGGTGAAACCAGAACCGGTTCCTCCTCCAAAGCTGTGAAACACCAAGAAGCCCTGAAGCCCAGTGCACTGATCAGCCTATGAGGAGGGAGCAATGGAAAGGAATTATTCAGTTAAAAACAAACGTTGAATGAAAACAGGCTAAGTGCCATTATAAAGATTCCTCACCAGTTTGCGAATCCTGTCAAGAACGAGATCAATGATCTCTTTGCCAATGGTGTAATGGCCACGAGCGTAGTTGTTCGCTGCGTCCTCCTTTCCAGTGATCAACTGCTCCGGGTGGAAAAGCTGCCGGTAAGTTCCAGTGCGGACCTCATCTGAACCGCAAAAAAGCAGTATGAGAGAATGAAAGCCGTGAGGAACTCGTGGATCAACCATAAAGGCCAGTTCACACTGCACTGACTAGGGCTGGGTATCGTTCAAAAAAGTTTGATATCGATACCGATACTTTGACTTTGATACCGGTTCCTGAACGATACTTTTTTCTATATCAATTTAATGAAATCCGTTTTAACAAGATTACATTACATATTACCTACAAAAAATTAATTGGTTGTATTTTTTCAGTTTGTTGACTGACAGTCTTTCTGCTTATAAGTTTATTCTGTGCACTGTCAAGTGCTTCATCTGATTTGCCGTGTTGCCGTTACATAACATAAAGCAATTATCTTGTCGCAAGTATTTGGCATCGAGTCTGGTGAAATGTAGCCACACTTTTGATCTTTTCCACATCTTTTACATCAATGGGGGTTGGGACGCTTACACACTACAGCCTCCTGGTGAGCCTCGTCTCTGGGCGTAACCGGTGTAAACTAGTGTTTTTCCTTGATGCCTCACAGCCAGTCATGCTGCACGCTTATTGGCTCACGGTAGTGATGTATGTCTCGAGACCGGTCTTGGTCTCGAGACCGGTCTCGAGACCACTTTTACGTGGTCTCGGTCTTGTCACGGCCTTGACGGTCTTTGGTCTCGGTCTTGTCTTGGTCTCGGACCTCTCGGTCTTGTCTAGGTCTCGCTGTCTCAGACCGACATAGTGGTCAGGGGATTGAGCAATACAATACTACAATATCCACGACGATATCCGCAACGTATTGAAGCGCGCGTCCGAGTGAAGACAGTGCGGTGCGCGCGAGCCACGCGAGAAAACACTGTATCCGCGCCACTGATCGCAGCGGCAACGAGCACTTTGATCACTTGATTTAAAAAACACATATCATGTACAGTTTTTGATATATTAATATTTAGTAAAACACATATCAGTGACATGATGGGTTTTACCTTCATTGATTTTAGGTAACTGCACAACTGAACTGACAGATGACTTTGAGCGCACCGCCAACGGTGTGTGTGTGTGTGTGTAACCATAGCGACAAAAACGACCAACTTTCGGATCCTGCACTTAAGCCTATAATTTCGTTTTTAAAAATATAATTATGTATTTAAAAGTTGCAGAATGGATTCATTTGGAGACTTCGAAATCAGCAGAGATAGGCAGGCAAATGCAAAACAACATTTGACAAGATATTGCTTATTAGCTTCAACACTAATGTTTTTTTCCCCTCCGGTCTCGACTTGGTCTCGGTCTTAGTCTCGACTTGGTCTTGGTCTCGACTTGGTCTGTCTTGGTCTTGGTCTTGGTCTTGTCTTGGTCTCGATACCATCTGGTCTTGGTAGTGTCTTGGTCTCGGTTTAGGCGGTCTCGACTACAAGTCTAGCTCACGGATGTTGACGAGATGAACCACTTAGATATCGAAATTTGGTACCGAACGACAAGAGATTTTTTGATACTCAATGGTATCGAGACAAATTCGGTCAGTGCCTAAAAGTATCGAACTCAAAACCCAGCCCTAGCACCGACAGACGCCAACCAACGGCAAGAGACATTAGTGGGGTTTTTCTGGGTCGACGTTACCCGTCGGTGTCTGATAGCGTTAGTCGACGCTTGTTTTTTGTTCAATCGCCATTCGTTGGATTGTGGAATGACTGAGAAGTGAATACTGTAATCTGGTGACTGTCCGCATTGTTCGCGCTCTGTCGGTACAGTGTGAATTGGCCTTAAGAGACTGCAGGTAATCAGACAGATACTAACCGATCACAGTGGGCTCCAGATCTACAAACACTGCCCTGGGTACATGCTTGCCAGCTCCTGTCTCGCTGAAAAAAGTGTTGAAGGAGTCGTCCCCTCCACCGATTGCTTTATCACTGGGCATCTGTCCATCCGGCTGAATCCCATGCTCGAGACAGTAAAGTTCCCAGCAGGCATTGCCAATCTGGACACCAGCTTGACCCACGTGAATGGAAATACACTCGCGCTGTTGTGAAGAAGAAAAGCAACCGTTTTAATGTTGTAGAGTTCGTTATTTGCAGCCTTCAAATCTTATATTACGTTAATATATTGCAACTGTGAATTGGGTGTTGTAATATTTGCAGTTCAGAGCTTTAGATATAAAAGGAGACATTATGGGAAAATATTGGGATGAGCAACCATGGATGCCAAATTCCTCATCATCTACCCACAAGCTCCATCAGGCTGTTCACATTTCTTGTCTATCAACATAGGTTTATTTAAAGAACTACAATCCATTTGATCAAATTGCATTACTATGTTCAATGTACAGTATTTGCAGTATGCCTATAAGAGCAGCCCATACAAAGGCTGAGAGCTGTATTTTCTTTCTTGGTTTATAATAGTCCTCACTCTGCCACTGAGAATAACTATGGATCTGTCGAAGCATTGTTTAAACAACATATGTTTCCTGAGCTTAGCTGGTCAGAGTAATGCATTTTAATGAGATTATGGCTGTCTGCATATGCTGCACTATAAAAAGATTAGTGTTTTCACTCCCTTTACTACACAATAAACCATTGCTATAGTAGCCTACACAGTTTTCAGTATTCCTAACCAGAATCAAAAGTCCAACATAAGTAACTTGATTATATGTGCTGGTGATTTAATCCAGCCGTTTAAAATGTACCCCTTCGTTTTAAAGGTTTGATATAATGTAGCCTATTTGCTCACTGTCGCACTGTTTATTGTATTGTCGTTTTAAAACAGTATCGCCACGTTTAAATGCTCATCTTCTCCTCGACGAAAAATATTAACACCGATGTGATGTTAACGTTTGAGCCGCGTCAAATGCATGCTGAATATTACTCGATCACATACTCTCTGCAGCCTCGCATCACAATGCACATGCATATTAAAAATAATAAATATAATAATATAAACAAAGATAAATAACACGATTTAGTTTAGACTTAGGCTAATAATGACTTCACCAATCACTCAATTCTTGCTGAAATTGTTTTATTATTCGCATCACGTCTTTAAAATAGTATACAATCTTAAAAAATAAAGGTTATTTATTGGCATGGTTCCATTAAGAACCTTTCACATCAATGGAAACTTTCCATTGCACAAAAAGGTTGGAGAGAAATCCCTTTTTGGAACCTTTCTTTTTAAGAGTGTAGCCTAAAAAGTAATAATACAGTACTCACCATTTTCCTCTAGGCCTAATTAGGAATGATCTGTAAACGAGATTAACAGCGTTACTGTTGTCGACGGTGAAGAGTCGATGTAGTAACTGCGAGAAATCCTCGAGTCGCGCCGCTTTTATACAGCAGCATCTGACTGACCTACTTCTTTATGTAGCCTATGTGAATAGCTAGGCTATATAGAATTGTAATTGTATTGCATCCGAACACTCGATTGTTTCAATCGAGTTTATGCATGCCGTCCGTTGATTTCGGAATAATCTCTAAGGCATAGGCTAATTTTGTTATTATGTCTAAGTAGATTTTTTTTTTTAAATATCTGAATATGAATATATCACTATGTAAGTTAAACCCCTCTTGCAAAAGCAGCAAAATATTTCTTTTAAAATCTGTAAATGTTACATTTTTAACAGTCTAGGATTATTTTTATTTATTTTTTCCACAAAGTGCCTCGCTTCACTTGGTAGTCTGCAGCATTATGACGCCATCACTGCAGCAGAATCTCTAATATACTACGGGCGGTGGCCGAGCTGGCCGTGTTTTAAAAACCTGTCAGCTGACTAGTAGTTAGGGAGCTTGGAACGGTTTATTATAGGAATACTGTAGGGGCAGTTTATAGGTTTTGAAACACGTTCTGTCTGTCTGGATCACAATATTGTGCGCATGAACCGCATCAAATCTATAGCCTAAATCACGTTATTATACGATGCGTTATTGATTATGTGTCCAGTCGGGTTATTTAAATGTAGGCTATGGTACGAAAAAACACGAAAGGCAAAAATGTTAAATGATTTTAGGATGCATGTTGCTGGTCATTTTAATAAAATTAGCTTACACGAATTGCACTATGTGTGATTTTTTAATCAACCTTTTGCACAAATAAATAAAGGATTTAACAGTAAGAGTGGGGCGATAAAACAGTGTTTTGTCTGGAATGTTATCATCACACAAAGGCTTGTTATTTTTTTGGGGATCATGAGCCACTCCTTCCTGCAGCCCGTTCTCTCTCTCTCTCTCTCTCTCTCTCTCTCTCTCTCTCTCTCTCTCTCTCTCTCTCTCTCTCTCTCTCTCTCTCTCTCTCTCTCTCTCTCTCATTCCTCCATCTTCTCCATCTTCTCTGCAGTGAGATCAGCACACATAAGCACCGACAGCACCTGTAAAAAAACAAAATGGTAAGTTTACACTTTCATTTATCAGTTAATTTCTTCATATGTTCATATATTTAGGTGTTTTGCACTGCAGCTTGAAGTCTATTGTTGCACACCATTGCTAGAAGAGCAGAGAGTTTGATCTCTGTAATATTTATATGCCAACATTTCTGATCTGTGAGACAAAAAGGGGATTATATATATTATGCAGTGTAAATTATACATTAACTTGTGAGATTTAGCCAGTACTATTGCTTTTAAAGAGAGTTAAATCACCCCATATGTCATAATGCACAGCTTGAGTAATTTCACTGTGCTAAATGTCTTCGTTATATAATTTTCCACAAAAGATAATTAGCAAATTTTGGGATTGTAATGCTCTTTACATTTCATGCCATTGGTGCCATTGGCTGTTTAATTACAGATAATTATGCATCTCAAAATAGTGCTGAAATCATGTTTTTATAAAATAGGCTATTGCTCTGTTTCATAACAGCTTAAAAATTTCAGATTCCCCCCCCCCCCCCAGAAAATAAATGTGTATTTGAATTTAACATGGTATGTAATCTAATCTATCATACGAAAAGGACATTTTTCAAAGTCTCAGAGCTGGAAATGATCCATAATTTACAGGATAAATGTTCATGACAATGCTCATTTTTATTTTCTACAACAGCGCGAGTGTATTTCAATTCACGTGGGTCAAGCTGGCGTCCAGATTGGCAATGCCTGCTGGGAACTTTACTGTCTCGAGCATGGGATTCAGCCGGATGGACAGATGCCCAGTGATAAAGCAATCGGTGGAGGGGACGACTCCTTCAACACTTTTTTCAGCGAGACAGGAGCTGGCAAGCATGTACCCAGGGCAGTGTTTGTAGATCTGGAGCCCACTGTGATCGGTTAGTATCTGTCTGATTACCTGCAGTCTCTTAAGGCCAATTCACACTGTACCGACAGAGCGCGAACAATGCGGACAGTCACCAGATTACAGTATTCACTTCTCAGACATTTCACAATCCGACGAATGGCGATTGAACAGAAAACAAGCGTCGACTAACGCCATCAGACACCGACGGGTAACGTCGACCCAGAAAAACCCCACTAATGTCTCTTGCCGTTGGTTGGCGTCTGTCGGTGCTAGGGCTGGGTTTTGAGTTCGACACTTTTTAGGCACTGACCAAATTTGTCTCGATACCATCGAGTATCAAAAAATCTCTTGTCGTTCGGTACCAAATTTCGATATCTAAGTGGTTCATCTCGTCAACATCGGTGAGCCAATAAGCGTGCAGCATGACTGGCTGTGAGGCATCAAGGAAAAACACTAGTTTACACCGGTTACACCCAGAGACGGGGCTGGAGGCTGTAGTGTGTAAGCGTCCCAACCCCCATTGATGTAAAAGATGTGGAAAAGATCAAAAGTGTGGCTACATTTCACCAGACTCGATGCCAAATACTTGCGACAAGATAATTGCTTTATGTTATGTAACGGCAACACGGCAAATCAGATGAAGCACTTGACAGTGCACAGAATAAACTTATAGGCAGAAAGACTGTCAGTCAACAAACTGAAAAAATACAACCAATTAGTTTTTTGTAGGTAATATGTAATGTAATCTTGTTAAAACGGATTTCATTAAATTGATATAGAAAAAAGTATCGTTCAAGAACCGGTATCGAAGTCAAAGTATCGGTATCGATATCAAACTTTTTTGAACGATACCCAGCCCTAGTCAGTGCAGTGTGAACTGGCCTTTATGGTTAAACCACGAGTTCCTCACGGCTTTCATTCTCTCATACTGCTTTTTTGCGGTTCAGATGAGGTCCGCACTGGAACTTACCGGCAGCTTTTCCACCCGGAGCAGTTGATCACTGGAAAGGAGGACGCAGCGAACAACTACGCTCGTGGCCATTACACCATTGGCAAAGAGATCATTGATCTCGTTCTTGACAGGATTCGCAAACTGGTGAGGAATCTTTATAATGGCACTTAGCCTGTTTTCATTCAACTTTGTTTTTAACTGAATGTATTTCTTTCCATTGCTCCCTCCTCATAGGCTGATCAGTGCACTGGGCTTCAGGGCTTCTTGGTGTTTCACAGCTTTGGAGGAGGAACCGGTTCTGGTTTCACCTCTTTGCTGATGGAGCGTCTTTCTGTCGATTATGGAAAGAAATCCAAGCTTGAGTTCTCCATCTATCCAGCTCCACAGGTCTCCACTGCTGTGGTGGAGCCCTACAACTCCATTCTCACTACACACACCACCCTCGAGCACTCAGACTGTGCTTTCATGGTCGACAACGAGGCCATCTATGACATCTGCCGTAGAAACCTTGATATCGAGCGTCCTACTTACACCAACCTTAATAGGCTGATAGGTCAGATTGTGTCATCCATTACTGCCTCTCTCCGATTCGACGGCGCCCTAAATGTTGATCTTACAGAGTTTCAGACCAACTTGGTGCCGTATCCACGTATCCATTTTCCTTTGGCAACTTACGCTCCTGTGATCTCTGCTGAGAAAGCTTACCATGAGCAGCTCTCAGTGGCTGAGATCACTAACGCTTGCTTTGAACCAGCCAATCAGATGGTCAAATGCGACCCACGTCACGGGAAGTACATGGCCTGCTGCCTGTTGTACCGCGGCGATGTTGTGCCTAAAGATGTAAATGCTGCAATTGCCACCATTAAGACCAAGCGCAGCATCCAGTTTGTGGACTGGTGTCCAACTGGTTTCAAGGTTGGCATCAACTACCAGCCTCCCACTGTTGTCCCCGGTGGTGATTTGGCGAAGGTGCAGAGAGCCGTGTGCATGCTGAGCAACACCACTGCCATCGCCGAGGCTTGGGCCAGGCTTGATCATAAGTTCGATCTGATGTACGCTAAGCGTGCCTTTGTGCACTGGTACGTAGGTGAAGGAATGGAGGAGGGCGAGTTCTCTGAGGCTAGAGAAGACATGGCAGCTCTGGAGAAAGATTATGAGGAGGTGGGTGTAGATTCAGTCGAGGGAGAAGGAGAAGAGGAAGGTGAGGAGTATTAGATTTCCTTTATTTCATGCCTTCTTTAGAATCAAAATGAGCAGGTAGCCTAGACTGAACAATTTCTCAAGCTTAAGAAAGTGCCAAATGACATAATGGTATTGGTGTTAGTGTCAATCTATGTAATTCCCTGGTCAACATTACAAAAGCTAATTGTGGATATTTTGTTCAGTGTACGTTTCTCAACTCAATAAAAACCTTAAAATAATCATGTTATGTTTCTGTTTACATTCATATGCTCTTGATCACTTACATATGTAATTAATAAAATGAATGCCACATCCACAATAAATTGACCTTTAATTCTGTATTTTAAGGGGTCATTAGAAATCAGTTTTCCTGGATCTTTGGAAACAAGAGTTTGATGCACTATATAGACATACTGTAACTTTCAGAATGTGTCTTAAACTCAAACAGCTCATTCTGAAAACTCTGACTTTGTGAATTTGTGCTTCTTTGCATCCAAACTAACGCCACATCGATTGTTAGCTAGTAGACAAATGTGAGGTCCTCAAAAGAATGCACCACAGCTTTATAGAAAGTGCTCTTCAGCAATCTTTCAAACTCTAAAATGACACATTTGGACATGCTAGGCCTTCACATACACACAATCAAGCGAAGACAACAAGACTGATGCATCGGATGTGCCATTTGGGACAGGGCCCCTAATTAGCAACAAGCAATGCAATAGGACAGATATTATTATTCCAAAAACCACAAGAAAAAAAAAAATATTTTAATTAGGTAAGAACAGTATAATTTTATCAAATTTTAGTGAATTGCAAATGTTTCTCTTTCCAAATCAAATATCACATGGTACTGTTGTAAAAGCACATCCCAGACAGATCCTTGACAAATTTGACAAATGTTTCCAAATTTATTATGTCAGGTAAATGTATCATGCCAATTTCATAATCAGTTCAAAGATAATAAATACAAA